TCCGCGCCTATGGAGGGTGGCAATGTCCTGTGTGCAAATGTGCAGATGTCGATGGACAGGCATTCGTAGGCTCCAGATGCTTTCATCTGGGACTTGTACTCACTCAGGTCAAAGCTGTAGATTCCGCCCCAACTGTCGAGAGGCCCAGCCGAAGAAGCTGCCTGGCACCAATTGAGTCAAACATGCTCGACAGAGCAGTTGAAAATAGAAACCGTGCACCTAATCAACCGTTTCAGTCTGACAGGCACAGAAGGAGAAAATATACCTTCGACTCTGACTCTGTCCCGGAAAAGTCTGGCCTTAAGCTCTTCCGCAAGAACATCTGTCCACATCTTGATTTCTTGGATTGCCGGGTGGTCTGCAAGCTCAGCAGCCAACTCATTCTCTGTCTTGCTATCTGTCTTCTGGCGTTTGGCTTTGGGTTCCGCCTTCTTGCCAGTCAGTCTGGTCGAAGTCGGCATGTTGGTCAGCCGACCGTGAAAGAAAAAACGCAGACGGTCCGAGAACCTTTGAGATTTGAACCAACAAAAACGCCCAAGCTTAAGGTGCGGATGGCTTTCCGCATCCTGCAATGAGAATCAATAGCATCAACTTGTCAAAACAGTTGACAGCTAATCTTCTTTTTCCGTGACTAAGCTTGATCACTGCTTCTGCCTGCGACACACAGCTGCTGAAATGTATCCCAAGCCTGCCGCGATCAGGGTTGCGAGAAGCACCGAACACAGCAACAATCACAGTGCTCCATGTCTCTTACACAATCTATATCTTGAATCTTGAATTTGAGATAAGATCGCCATAGAATCTGTGCCAAGATCACACGAAGGGAAATCAGGAGCGATTCTCTACATGCCAGCACAACCATGACTTCCTTGCAGAATTCACCATGAAAGCAACTGCATGGAACTTACGCGTGGTTAAAAATGAGAAGCACAGCAACGCATCCCAGCGAACAGTCTGCACCAAACGCCCGCACATGCACGCTGACGAGGACCCAAGGTCAAACAAGACCCTATACGATATTGAAGAAACATCCTGCAAGAGCGTAGGTCAAAGCCAGCAACATCGAAAAGAAGCCATGCAATCCACTCCCACAGCTCCGAGCCACTATTTCACCCCACTGACAGAAAACACGGATTCAAGCGAGCAGGCGCTTTTAAATCAAAGGGAGGTAAGCAAACAGGCGCTTTTTAAGCCAAGAACGCGTCTGTTGAGCGGAGTTTAGTCTATACGCAGCCTGACCAATTTAGTTTTACACCTACAGCAGGGCATTTGCACCCATATGCAACAGAAGAGGGAAAAAACATTGCGTTGAACGCGGCCACTGTCACACTCTAAAAAGGTCTTGCCCTGTTGCATTGAATCCGTACGTGCGTGCACTCTGTAGACACACCCACCGCACAACACGCCCTCCTTAGAAAATGTCTGCAAGCCCCAAGTGAGTATTGACTATACTCATAGGGCCCGGGACAGCTAGACAGCAAGCAACCCACAGGATCAAAATAACTCCGAGGAGTGAGGTTTGGAGCAAAAGAAAAAACTGCTCAGAGTTTACCTTTGACGGTAATTTCTGACAAGTAAAATTCGGGGCAAAAGAGAAAAAAGGCTGAAGTAAACTCTGAGGAGTAGAATTCGGAGCAAAAGAGAAAAGAGGCTGTCGGTAAACTCTCAGGAGTAAAATTTGAAGCAAAAGAGAAAAAAGGCTGCTCAGAGTTTACCTTTGACGGTAAGCTCTGAGGAGTAAGATTTGGAGCAAAAGAGAGAGTTTACCTTTGACGGTAAACTCTGAGGAGTAAGAATTGGAGCAAAAGACAGAAGGCTGCTCAGACTTTACCTTTGACAGTAAACTCTGAGGAGTAAGGTTTGGAGCAAAAGGAAAAAAACTGCTCAGAGTTTACCGTTGACAGGAATGAGATTTGGAGCAAAAGACAAAAGGCTGCTCAAAGTTTGCCTTTGACAATAAACTCTGAGGAGTCGGTTTTGGTGCAAAAGAGAAAGGAGATTGCTCAGAGTTTACCTTTGACGGTAAACTTGGAGCAGAAGACAAAAAGCTGCTCAGAGTTTACCTTTGACGGTAAACTCTGAGTAGGAGGTCTCGGAGCAAAAGAGAAAAGAGTCTGCTTGGAGTTTACGTTTGACGGTAAACTCTGAGGAGTAAGATTTGGAGCAAAAGAGAAAAGGCTGCTCAGAGTTTACCTTTTACGGTAAACTCTGAAGAGTTGGTTTTGGTGCAAAAGAGAAAGGAGATTGCTCAGAGTTTACCTTTGACGGTAAACTTGGAGCAGAAGACAAAAAGCTGCTCAGAGTTTACCTTTGACGGTAAACTCTGAGTAGGAGGTCTCGGAGCAAAAGAGAAAAGAGGCTGCTTGGAGTTTACGTTTGACGGTAAACTCTGAGGAGTAAGATTTGGAGCAAAAGAGAAAAGAGGCTGCTCGGAGTTTACCTTTGACGGTAAACTCTGAAGAGTAACATTCGGAACAAAAGAAAGAAAGGCTGCTCAGAGTTTACCTTTGACGGTGAACTCTGAAGAGTAAAATTCGGAGCAAAAGAGAAAAAAAGGCTGCTCGTTTTTTACCTTTGACGGTAAACTCTGAAAAGTAGAATTTAGAGCAAAAGAGAAAAAAAGGCTGCTCAGAGTTTACCTTTGACGGTAAACTCCGAGGTTTTGGAACAAAAGAGAAAAGAGATTGCTCAGAGTTTACCTTTGACAGTAAACTCTGAGGAGCAGGTTTTGGACCTCAGAGTTTCGAGGCAAATTGAACAACTCTGAGAAGCAGTAAAAAAAAACAGGATGCTCAGAGTTTACCTTTGACGGTAAACTCTGAGGAGAAGCTTTTTAGCTGTAGAAGCAACATTTGGACATGAAACTCTGAGCAAGGCCCATGGCCAAATGTCACTTCTACATGAAGAAATCCTTTGCTCAGAGTTTACTTTTAAAGGTAAACTCTGAGAGACTCATTTTTTTTGGAGAGCCTTCAAAGTTGTTCTGCAATCCCTCAACGTTTTCTTACTGTAAGAAAGAAAGGCTATGTTCAACACAAACTGCACCAACTCACCTGCTACATCCGGCCTGAGGCTGTACGAAATCTGCAATCTGCCAATGGCCTGCCGGGATCTCTGGAAGGCGCATACCAAGGAACGAACTTGCACGCAAGGGAAAGAGTTCCAAGCAAAGGCCTGCATCAAAACAAGCGAGAAATGATTTTTGGACATGCTGCATGCTGCGCCCTCGTCATCGTGAAAAGGTCAAGCTTTTGGAGTCCTGCTAGCCATGTTAATGGCCATGAGCAACATTAATATGACGACCGGAGAAGGAGTCACTTCGGCCACTGCTGATTTAGCAGCTGCCGGGCTCAGCAAGTTCAAGCTCAGGCCACTATAGCCTTTGCAACGCAACACCTCTGACAGGCACAAAGGACGGCAAGCGTCACCATTGAAGCAAAGAACGTCCGATGAAGGCTTGACGTCTGGCAGCTTTCCCTCAACCACTTGGTGACCCTTCCACTTTTTCGAACCAGAGTCCGCCAAGAGAAAGCTGCGGCTCGCGTGTTGACTGTGTTGGTATCGGTGCGCGAGAATAGCGCCATGAACTTCATGCAGGGCAGTGTCTTTGATTGGCGACGTAGTGGCACCCTCTGGAAGCAATTTGTGCAACACAGCTCCTGTGAAAAGCTCAGCTCTCTCGTCTTTGGGATGACCTGAAGCACCAGGTGCAGGCTGTGTCTCCGAAACACTCTCTGTGCCGTGTTTGGCTCTCTTGCCGCCTGGATCGGAGCCGCCAGGGCCACGTCTCTTCAACGTCACCTCTCTGCTCTGCTTCTGTTCGTAAAGACGCTGGGGATCTTCTGAAGAGAATAGGCACTTTTCGATTGAGACTCCAAAGTCAGGCAGCTTGCTCCAGGCGTCCAAAGAAGACGCCCAAAACTCATTCATTCCTTCCACTTTTGAACAGGCTGCTGCTGCGGCTGCTAGTAACATACGTTGGCCAGAGCATGGTAAACCAAAGGCATCGAAACTGTATGTTCGAAGGAAAGCTACCTGGAAGCTAGGGAAAGCCGAGGTGAATGCATCTGCCACGCGTTCCTCATCCTTTCCGCTTTGGAAAGAAATGTCCAGGACAATGACATCAGGCATAGAGCTGGGCATAGCTTCCTTGAGACGTTCCAATTTCTTCACGTGTTCTACGGCTCCAATCAAAATGAAAGGCTTCGGCACCTTGGAGCAGAAGCTTTGAAATCTAGTCTTGCTGCCATCCATGTACCGCACTCGCAAGGCAGCCTGGCAGTAGTCAGCTGCCGCTTTGCGCAGCCCTCCTTCATAGGAAACACCTGCGGTGGAGAAATCACTGTCCAAACCTGCAGAAGTCTTCAAGCAAAGCACCGGATCTATGGTACCGAAGCAAGAGACAACCCGGCGTGGGCAAGCCGGGTCAGCACCAATTGCTGCCTTGACGCGTTCTCGCCAGAACGCCTTAGCATTCATCCTAAGCACAGCATGTGAAACACTTGACTGGTCGCAAGTCCAAGTTAATCCTTGAGCCATGGAACAAGAATGGCATTCAATGTGGCATGTGAGCTGGAAAGTCGAAAATGCCGTGGCAGACCTACGTCCGACGTGACGCTGCTCGAGCTGCAACCCACCAGGAAAACCATGAACTAACTAAATTCGGTTGCGTTTTCCACCGTCAAGCCTGCAGAGCCTTGAATCCTTCTAGGCTGAAGAACGGAGGGCGCCCAATGCTTTCAGGAATGGGCAGAGGGCTAAAACCAAAGTGGTAGAGGACATGAGGTTGCCTACTATGCGCCTTTGATCTCCTTCGCTCAAGCCTTCCCAACAGGTCTGGCCAGGGTATCCGTGAGCTACAAACAACTCGGGAGCAGAAATAAAACGTTCAAGTCTGTAGTGGTACAAAGTTGACGAGGTTGTGCAGGTAGGGAGAGTTCCACGGAGACAAAGTTTGCCCCTGTCGGCGGACTGCGAAATGTCTGCCACCATGCTCCGAGAATCCTGACAAATATGAATAAAAACGAGACAATGGTGCTAAGCCAAAAAAAATGCAACGACTCCAAAAGCCAGCTGAAACGCCAAGATCGGCAAAGAGTGTTGTGAACTCTTGGCTTCTGGCGACATGTACAAATATTTCTATATCTGGCAATTTAATACGCAACCAAAAAATGTCTCTACCGAAACTGAAACAAAAGCTTTTAAACACGTGCGCGTCCTCCACCTGCTCTTGCTGAGCTAAAAACTGGCCGATGAAGAAATAGACGTCTGCCTGTGCCCTGCACCATGCTGACTTCTTCTGAAGGGCGATGTGCTTGCACGACGGACGTTCTTCTCTTGGAACAACTTTGAAGCCAGGTGGCAAGCGACCCTTCTTGAAAGCCTTCTCCAATCCACTGCTGAAATATTGAAAGTAGGCAGCTGCATCTTGAGCGTCATCGGATGCAGTCGTTTCTAAGGGATTTGAACCACCTTCTTGCTGGCTGGTTGCAGAGGCATGTGCTACCAAACAGGTGTCCAGATGATGCCTGCGCATGTTGAGCTTCACAGAGGACTGCAGTGATTCAAATTCCTGGCAAAGGACTTCTGCTGGGTGTTGCTCGCTGCGACTCAAGAAGATCAAGCAACGGTTCCTGGAAGTTCAGGGCCGTGGCGCGCGTCTCCAACAAAGAACAAAAAGAGGAAAAACTGGAAACACCGAAGGAAAAAGGCAGCAGTTTCAAAATCCTTGTCCTGTCGGCTGGCAAGGGGTGGGCAGTGGCTTCACAAGAGTGCACAGTGTACCCAGGGATCTCTCGCAGCTGCTGCAAGCAATGGTTCAAAGCTGGCTCACCGTTCCCTCCACCAGCAGCAAGCCTGGGTCTCTAATCAAAAAACACATGTCACTGCAAATCTTCGAAATTGCACTGCGGCGGGCGAACCATTTAGCAAAACGTTGAAAATCGTAAGCCTGACTCAGGATCGCGCTGAAGACCGGTAACGTTCTCCAAAAGAGCATAAAGTGGTCTTCGAGCAGCGATATCCGCTCGGGTTGCTTCCCAGGTTGGCTGAGCAATCTGTGTGACATCGTGCTGAAACCTCTTGGGATTTTGAATGGAATTCCAATGACACACAAAAGAGCTTTGGTAAAGGTCATCTTCACCACCAGCAACTGAAGAGGGCACAACGCACATTCTCGCATGCACTGCGCAAGCAGCTTGCTTGCAGGTGCTTACATCTGATGCATCCTGGGAATGGCTTCACTGCCCAAAGCTTGAAACTAAAATGGATTCAACAGAGGCCACAAACTTGGTGAACATGTTCTTTTTGTGAGTGTTTTGGCCAAGGAGCTTCAAAGAGGCATCGCGGTGCGCGATTGTTCCTGAGCAAAAAAGCTTGGCAAGCCTTGTCGCATTCCGAGCCGAACAAATCCTTGAGCTTGACCTGCTGGCCCAGGCAACGCACCATCTTTTTGAGAACGTAGCCGAAGGAGTTGACACCAGTACAGCAGCTGGAAACTGTCAAGGCTCTCTTGCACGTGCTGGAGGGAGCCAATCCATTCAAATTCCATGTGGCGCGGATGAAATCTGTCAAGGAAAACTTCTCTGCAGACAAGGTTGCCACATCTACGCGGGCATCATGGCTCTTGGGGCTAAGTTTAGACGCCGGTCTTTTCAACGTTCCTTTTCTGACGGCCTTTGGTTTTGGGGCCATAGGCGCAACTGAAGCTCTGCAAAGGCTGCAGCAATATGGATTCCTGGACTTGTCGCAGAAGCATGTCACAAACGAATCCTATGCTTTGGTCATGTGTACAAGGCATTGCACGGAAGCTGAGGTATCGCTACTTGTCACCTAAAGATGCACACAGAAGCTCACCTACCGACCCTTGCCCTTCTGTATTTGACCCGTTGCAGCTATTGGTGCTGCTTCCCCTTCAACGCAAGCAGCGCTGAGTAAGCCAGAGCCGCCTGGCAGACTCCAACTCCCCCCGTGCCCGGACCGGTGCCGTGCACAGCTTGATGGTCTCGGCGCCGGCCGGGTCAAGAAATCTCAACTTGTGGGCAACGTGGTCTGCAGCCTTTTGCTGCGCCACGGGCAAAGGCAAGCCATGAAACATGTCTTCCGCAGAAGGAAAGAGGAACCTGTGAGGGCCAGTTTGAATAAGTTCAAACAGCAAACACCCAAGTGAAAAGATATCCAGTGCAGGGGTCAATTTCATCTTCTCACGGCCGGAGCAATGACATTCAACCGGCCGATATGGCTTGCTGCAAACCAAATGTCCAAAGACGTGGCCTGGCATCTGTTGGCTGAGGCCGAAGTCAGCAAGCCAGGCTAGAGGTGGGCCGTTCTTGCTTTGGCTGTCTAAAACAAGCAAGACATTTGAGGCTTTCAAATCTAAATGTACAACTTGCTTGGCATGGATGAATTGCAGCCCCATAAAAATTTGCACTGCTAAACGGCATCGGTTCTCCAAGGCATTCTCTGGGCTGGAGATCATCAACGGGCAGCCATTCAGGTATTCGTGAAGAGAGCAGCTGGCCAAAGGCAAAAGCAAGCCCATGTCCTGGCACTTCCCCGAAATCATGGATGGGTGCGAAGTTTGGATAAACAAACATTTCGCCATAAACCAAGGTACACCATGCGATATATATATATATATACATATATATATATATGTATATAGATATATATATATATATATAGATATATATAATCTCGTTTTCGAAAACAGCCCGTGGAAACTTCAAACCCTTCTTGGGTGGAAAACAAATGGAAGCTGGAAACATTTTGTGGAAGTCTGGTAAGCAAAGTTGCCAGAAACTTCTTCCCAATCACCCAAACAAGAGAGGCTGGTGAAAACTGCTGGCTGTAAGACCACAGCTTCTGCAAGAACATAAAAATCCCCTCTGGTAACATCCCAAACAGTCAATGGCCTGCGCAAGGTCAGACCTTGTGGGTCTAAAATCCCTCGTGCAGAGATGCTTTGAAGATACTGAAAAGTCTTGCTTTCTTGAGCGACGAGCTGTAAGCTTGGTAAACAAATCCAGAACGACTTATAGCTGCGAGAAGAATGCATAGAAAATGTATTTTGATGCTGTGTGGATAAAGGCGCGCGACGGGTAAAGCCGTCTAATGAACGACATGGGATATAAATTCAAATGCCTGTGAACTCACTGCATCCAAGTGATATGCTTTCTGGAGAAACATTGCATGACTCTCACATGAAATTCAATACATACAAATTGCTTTTAAAACTATGGCAGCTCAGGTGTCCGATGAAAATGCAAAATCAATGGCCCATGCAGTTTGGGACATTGAATCTTCAAGATGTTTATGGCTGAGTAGGGATACTCTAAGCTGGATATCCTCAGGTCCAAAGCATTTTCGCGTGGCATGGTTTGGGATGTTTGGTTTTTGAAACTGCAAAGTCCGCCGAACAAAAAAACTTTGGGATAAGGTTCTTAAGTAGGAAAAAAAGTTGCTTTCCTGAAAATTCAAGTTGGGACACAAATTTAAGCACTTTTGAGACTCTTTCGACATCTCAACTTCCAAGTGGTCCGAGAATGGCGTGCTTTTTGCACATTTTGACTTGGACATGTGCTTGGCACCACAATGGCGTGATTTTTTTCATCTCCCATCTGGCCAACTGGCTCCGCACCCGCCGCGTTAGCGAGCCTACTTATCGACCCTCCGGAGCCACAAATTTCGCGCACCTGCATCGTCTTTCTTCTCGCTTTTTCTCTTCTCTGATCTTCTATCCCTTCCCTGGTGTCTCCGTTACTCCCAGCCAGCTGTCTGACACAAGAACTCTGTTCAAACATGCGTGAAAACAATGACCAGTTTTCGGGAAGAAGCGGTGCGCAAGCGTGTCAAAACAAGCACGCAATGAAGACAGGCGCCTTCTGGCTGCTGGAAGGCAACAGTCCGAGGCAAGGAACCACGTGAGCATGGGACCCTAAATGCTGAAGAACTTCAAACTCATGAGCGAGATCACCCAGCGTAGACACATGCTCGTGGCGAGACTGAGCAATCTTCAACGCATAGAGTCGGGAAGAGCACTTCTCCCGCGCTGCAAAAACCTGGCCATAGGTTCCTTGCCCTATTCGTTCTTCGCACGAAAGTTGGCCACCTTGCCACTCGAAGATCGCCAGAGGAAGTGAAGCAGTTGGAGCCGCATCCTCCTCCAGGCTGTAGCAATGAACCCAAATAGTACTTGCCCTGAAAAACTGTCCACCAAAATGAGTTTACATGATGATGCGGCTATTCTGTAGAAAAGCTTTCAAATCTGGCCGAAAAAAAAACATTAGGTTTCCAACCCGGGCTCTTTGGCCACAGACCGAGCTATAGGCAAGCGTGCAGCAAGCCGGCACTTCTCATTCGCTGCAACCTGTGTCTGGGCAGCCCGGAAGAAAGGTTCTTTCTCTCTCGTGCTCATGCCATGCCATCGACTAGAAATTTGGCCCTTGCTGTTCACCAAGGTTTTTTACGCAGCCGGACACGCACAGGAAGTTTCACTCCCGTAGTGCTTACAAAACCACACCACAAAGAAAAAGCATTGGGTGGCCGGTTTAAGCCGAGTTCTTCGTTGGTTTTTTTTCCCATTCTGCCAATGCCTGCCTCGCTGCCTACTGGAAGCCTAAAATTCACGAGAGTGAACGAACACGCATTGCAACCTATGGCTGAAAGCAATTTCCTCAACAGACATGTTTCTCCCTGGAAAAAAACACGAAGCATTGTCTTTCTCTGCGTTCAAACATATTGCCAATCACTCCCACACGCAAATATGTCAAATCATGCTTTGAACCATTCCCGCACCCATATGTCAAATCATGCTTTTCCGCTTGCGGCACGTGCTCTGAAGCATGCCCCACACTGCACTGCAAGGCAGCCCTCGCTGCCTCATGCTCCAACGTTGGTGGAACAAAGGAGGTGGGAATCTAAGAAGCTAGGCCGGCTCATAGCAGTTGGAACACAAGTGCAAAAATTCTGTCAAATCCAAACATTTGACTTTGACATCCTTTCCATCCAGATCCTGACATCGGAGGGGTTTTGCATCGGCTTCTGCCACCAAGACATGTGTAAGTGTGGGCCACTCCACCCTGGTAATCACATCGCCGCGATGAACTTCCAAGCGCCGGCGCTGCTGATTCTGCTTCACAGTCATGAAAGGACTCAATAGGCCCAGTTGACGGAGAACTTTGGCGTGATCTGGATGCTTGCTTTCAAATCCGGAGGTGACAAAAAGTACCATGTGGCAATGGCGCAGAACACCTCTGAATGCTGTCATCCTGCCTTCAAGGTCCATAAGCCTGGCGCCCACCATTCGCGCCAGCAAAGCCGCTGGCCCTCGCCAGCTGAGTGGCACCGATTTCACCAAGACCAAGTGCACCTCCCTGATCTCCTTGGTGCGGATCCATTTTTCAGGCAAGTGGGTGCATTGTTTCGCTTCGCTCTTCCTGACCCCTTCCAAGAACAGGTAAGGCTCAGGTGGCAACGAAGGCATTTTGGCTGCTGCTACTGGAGGGGCGCCTTTCGGCCGCATCAGGCCACCTTTCGCATCCACGTAATCCACAGGTTGCCCTGCTGCAGCAGCTCGAAAAACTGAAGCCTTCTTATCCGCAATGGCCTTCTGGTTTGCCACAGCTTTGTCAGCTGCAGCCCAATCTTCCTCGCTCAAAACAGCTTGTTCTCCAGCAACTCTTGGCACTTTGGAAACTGGTTGTGGAGTTCCCGTCGACGCCTCCAAGGCTCGTTTCTTTGCTGTTGCGTCCGTCCTTGCCTTTGAGCTAGAAGATGGCGCACTGACCTGAGGTTATGCGAACTGGTTCCCTTCTTGTTTCAGTTCTTGGCTCAAGTTTTGAGACTTGCAAACACATGGGCCCAAAGGAGAAAACACACGGAATATCCCTAAGCACGTGGAAAAAATGCGCTGCGCCAAGATACTCTTTCAGAAGCTTCTTGAACGAAGGCCTTCCGTTTCTTCCTCATGTGCCAAGCAGCTTGAGCCATTGAATTCAAGATGCCCGACTCGGATGCCCCGCCATCTGACGAAGGGATGTCACCGAGCACACCCTCCATCACGCCACCTTCCCGGACTTTGCTAGCCGCTGCTGCGCAAGAAGCAGCATGTTTCTCCAAGGTCGCTTTCTCGGACTTGTCACTCTTGTCCTTGCATATTGTAAGCCTCGGCTTTTGTGCAAGTAGCCTTTGTCGAGACAGCGAGGTAGGGGAATGGGCTTCCATGTCTCTGGCCTTGCCCGGCTTCTCGCCAAAGTAGGCTGCATACAGCCTCTGAGCTCTCAAAAGCACTTGACTGGCAGGGTGCACAACTGTGGCTCCACCAGCGGTCTTTGCGGAGGTTGGCTTGCACAACAAAGATTCTGCATCCAAACGGGACCGGCGGCGACCCCCATCATCTTGCACCAAAAGCTTCAAGCTGATTTCCAAATTCCTGGTGGAAAGATTCGGGCGACTGTGGGCTAGGTCGCCTTTGAGATGTATGAACCGCTCCACGGTGCCAGTTCCACTCAATGCACTCAAGTAAATCTCCACCAAGCGGCAGACAGCAGAATGGGAGCTGACCCGGCGAATCTCGAACCACGTCGCCAGCCATGCTTCTTGGTGAGGAGACTCTGGTGCGTGGCATGCAGATTTGGTCCGGTGCAATTCCTTCACCCCATGCATGGAAAAATGCCATTGCGCTCGTACAAAAACACCGGTGGTCTCACCGTTGCCGAGCCAACTTTTCCAAGCTTCGGACCCGTCAATGCCAAATCGCTCACACAGAAATTTGACCCAGCGCTCTCGGTTGGGAAGCGCGATCTGCGCAGACAAATTGAAAGCCCCGAAAGCATTGGCCTCCTAGCAACACTTCAAAAGTTTGCCGTGCAGGATGCAATCGAAGACCCCTTTAACAAGTACTGCAAATCTGTTAAAAGATTATCCCGGCAAGAGACCCCAAACAGTGTGGGGGGGTAAAAGGATACTGCACTATAATATGGATGATGATGATGATGAAGAAGAAGAAGGCAATGATTCTAATGAGGACGAGGATGAGGATGAGGATGATGATGATGATGGTGATGATGATGATGATGAAGATGGGGATGAGGATGATGAGAATGGTGATCATGATGATGATGATGATCATCATCATGATGATGATGACCGCTGTGATGTTCATGATGCTGACAATAATGAGGATGAGATGATGATGATGATGATGAGGATGATGATGATGATGATGATGATGCTGATGATGATGATGATGATGATGAGAGGAAGATGATGAAGTGGATGTTGAGGAGGAGGAAGATGATGATGTGGAGGGGGAGGACGTTGAGGAGGAAGACCTTTCCCAAGACCGGGAAGCACACTTTGTGCGAGCCTGCGCAGTCGAAATGCACATGGACATCCGACAAGAGCAATTTTGTGGAAATTTACAGGAAAAATGCCGGACCCCAATCCCGGGCACGGCATTTTGTACGAGCCTGCGCAATCGAAATGCACACGGACATTTCACAAGAGCCATTTTGTGTGGAAATTTACCGGTAAAATGCCGTACGCCAATCCCGCGGCAAGCATTTTGTGCGAGCCTGCGCAATCGAAACGCACATGGACATTTCTCCAGAGCCATTTCGTGTTGAAATTTACAGGGAAAAAGCCGGACGCATATGAGAACACCTCGATTAAACACCGGGCTTTAACTGTTACCGTAAGAACCCCTTCAGTGTGGCCACACTGTTTGGGGAATTTGGCTAGAGGCACTACATAGGATGAATATACAATAAGTTGGAAGGAGTTCTAACCTCATATTTTACCAACGGAGAGCAACCTAACATGCAGTAGCCAAGAAATACGGAACACCTGGACACTAAATCAACCCCGCGAATGAGAGCCACACAGTATGCAAAAACTGCAATAAACTCCTCGTACCCCGGAAAGTTTGTGTTGAAGAAGGTCTCAAAAATGTTGTAGAACCTGCAGATGCGGCGCAGCCACAAAGAGTTCGTTTTGCTAGTGTGACAGGGTGAGCAGACTACCAGCCCAATGCAATCGTATGCAGTGATCCACCTAAAACAAAAGATGCAGTCTGCCGTGGGTCAGCTGCACTTGAGATCCTGGCCTCTTCGCAATTGTCATTGGCTCCCGTCTTTCAGGCGTGTCAGGGGCTGGCCACCGAACCACCGCAGTTCGAAGCTTCTCTGGTTTCCCTCGGCCCATGAACCTCATCAGGATTCTGTTGATTGTGAAGCTTACATCCAATCGTCCTTCCAAAGAAAACTTGCTCCAACAAACTTGTTTTGGAAGTACAAAAGATGCTTGGCTCGTGCAGTCCCTACACATGCCAACATATCTACGGTCATACATGTGCTGACATGAATTCACACCCATGTTCTCCCATAAATCACGACATCGTTTCCGACATTTATTCCGAAGCATCGATATATATATATTTATTTATTTATTTATTCATTTATTTATTTGTTTGTTTGTTTATTTATTACGTATTTGTTTTTTTTATATTGCTGATATCCAACAATGAGGAGCATAAAAAGAAATAGATTATATTTATTCATTGATATCAATGTATATATATATATCATTTTGACATATAATATTAATAAATACATAACTTACATAACTATATATTTATTTATCTATTCAATATACATATAGATATATATGACAACATTCACTGATCACAGGCTTGCTTTCGGAAGGAAGTCCGGTGTTGGACACCATGGCAAACAGCAAAATACAGCCGACAAAGGCCAAACAGGTGAAAAGAGGATAAGCCGACCTGAGAGCCGGAAATCCACCGCACGGAAGGCGTCGGGGCGTGATAGTTCATGAGGAGTCGAAGCAAGGAACAGATCTGCTCACCTGGTACAGCTTCAGCTGCGGGGGCGGATGTTCGCTCAGCGGGCCGCCAACAAGTGCACGGGGACTGTTGGAAATTTGCACGTTTTGCAAATCAGCTAAACATCGTCCAAGTGCAATGTTTCGATCCGACATGGCTGCAACATCCACTTGGATTCAACTTCGCCCAACAAGGTCCCAATCTCCGCCCAACTTGGACCACTTGGCTCCAACTTCGGCCCATTTTGGCTCCAATATAGCGCAACTTATAACCCCAAGTTGGAGCCGTTTGCGAGCAACTTTGGCGCAAGTTGAAGTCCACATGGCTTCAATGTGGAACACATGGCCGCCCAATTGAAAACCGGTTTTCATTGTTATTTCTAACGGTTTGCTTGGCATGGAGGATGCCACGTGTTGAGCAATGTTCCCGATGTTGTGTCTCCGGTGGGCCCACCTTGAAGGTGCGAGGGTCGAAGTTGCACCATGTTCAGCACAACCTGGACCTCCATGTACACATAGCTTCAATTTGGGGTCCCTTTGGGCCCAACTTCAGTCCAACATGACCAATTGGCGGCAACCCGGTGTCGAGTTGGGCGCAAGACGCAACAGCCCCAGACCGGGCCAATTTTGCGGATTGTATGCGACAAGCTGAGAATTTTCATGTTTAAAGCTATTTCCAAACGTCTTTTTGCTGTGATGGAGGTTCGTGCAAGGACATGTTGCCCACATTGGACTTGTTTCGCGCCCAACTTCGGAGCCAGATGCCCCCACACAGGACCAAGTTGTGCATATTAAGCCCAACTTGGGCCCAAATGTGCCCAAGTTGCGCCGTGTTGAACCCCAGCTCGGCTCAAGCTGGGCTCAAGTTGGAACCAACTGGCCCACGTGGCGCAAGTTACGGCCAAGTTGGGCCCAAGGTGGCTGACTCCTGTTCGGCTTAACTTTCGGCCAAGGACGGCCAAATTTGACCCCCAAGTTTTTGGTTGGACCAAGTAGGCCCGCAATTTCTTTTTTATCTAATTTTCTGGGTGTGGGCGGTACTCGTCGCGAGGCGACTCGAATAAAGGCCAAAAAAGTTACACAACTTTTGCCTGCGCCCAAGGCTCACTTGTCGTTCTTTCACCGCATGCAAAGCGCAATGCGTCAGTGTCTCTGAAGCATCCGGTAAAAAGATCCCCCCATGGCAAAGCATCAGCTTCAGCGTTGCAAGGCACTGCGCAGCAGCTGGAGCTTCGAGCGCAAAGTCTGCGCAAGCTTGGTCGGCAACTTTGATCAAAGGCCATGCCATGACTAGTGCATCAGCAGCCACCGCGGAGCCCACAACACGGCAATAGCCCTCGTCCCCACCAAACTCCTGGAGCAACGCAGCGGCCCAAGCACGGTCTTCCTCATCGAAGGGACCCACGGCGGCACTGACCTCCTCGAGCAAGTCGATGACCAACGGCAACAACCTGAACAGTCGGAAAAGCGGCCGCTTTCGCGAATCAAACCTGTGCTCGGCATAGGCAAAGCTCTTCAAAATGCGACTGAAGCCCACAGCACTCTCAACATCCTTCCTTTGCTTCGCTGCGAAAGCCTCAATTCAAGCTGAAGGCAGGCAAAGAATGCCGTGGGCTTCAGTTGCATTTTGAAGAGCTTTGAAGCCAAAATACATTACTTCGAGTGATCCCCACCGTGACACTATTTTGTCATAGTTTCTGAATTCTTATCTGGAACTATATATGGCATGTATTTTCAGAAAGTCTATTCTGGCATCCTTTCTGACATTCTGTTCTGACATTCTTTCTGGCATCTCTTCTAGCAAGATACTCTGACATCCTATCTGACATTCTTTCTGGCATTCTACTTGAAACATATTCTGACACTCTTTCTGGCATATACTCTGACATCCTATCTGACATTCTTTCTGGCATTTATTTTCACTTTCTATCTGCAATTCTATCTAGCATCTTTTAAGGCATTCATTCTGGGATTCTATCTGGCATCTATTCTGACATTCTGTCTGGCATTCTCTTTGGCAATCTCTCTGGCATGTGTGAGGTCCAGGGCCGCTCCAAAGCCACTCCACAGGTTCCTGAGCCCGCGATGTGGCACCAGGTCCAAAGCATTCCAAAGCCTCCCGACCTCCAAGGTTGAGACCCGGCAGTGCCCACTGTGATCTGGATCTCGCAGTTGCCGTCCGGCAGTGCCCACTGACATCTAGAGCTGGCAGTGAAAGTCCGGGACGAAGAAGGGAAAGAAGGAGGAAGAAGGAGAAGCAGAAGCACGAAAGAGGAAGTGACCCTGATAAAATCTAGGGACCTCAGCTAGTAGGAGGGGAACAACTAGCCTTTCACAAACAGTAGCTGGCTAGCCCCAACCACACGAGGCCCTCGAATTCCCACGCACTTCAATGCAAACAAAAAACGTGTGCAAATTTCTCAGATGTCTCAAGCAATCGTGCTAGTGATCGGTCTCCAGTCACCAGCTTTGCCAAGAAGTCCTTGAAAATGGATGGCAAACTGGACCAAAACTGTTTGTCCACAGAGCGAAAACGATGCGCTCGATCCCGGGTGATGAGCATGCAGTTCGGGAAAAGGCACTCATCAGCTGAAGCGCCGCCCAACCCAGAAGCCAGCGGAGATGCCTCATACAAAGCCCTTTGCTCTGTCGGGCCACCATCAGCCACCAGCGAAACACAGCAGCGTCTCAAGTTGCTGAAAGCTTCATTGTCCAAGTGGTCTGCATCGCTGCTGTGGACATTCTGCAATCTCCTTTAAGGGTTTGAACAGGCTTCCAAAAAAGCTAAACCAACCAAAATTACGGCTAGAGTCGAAAGTTTGGAGGAGCCATATACCCGGGTTTGATATTCTCAATCCGGGCGCGACCCTCAAAGCTAAGTCCTTGTTTCGACATGCACTGTGCAGGCTCTCTTCAAGACGTCTTCCAAGCTTTTGAGGACTGATCTGCTGGCGTCAGGCTCGTCGCTATCCGGCACATGGTCCCCAAGCCCCAGAAACCAGTCCTTGGAGCAATAAACATAAGACAATTTTCACGAACTTCGGGATGGATCCGCCGAAAAAAATGTGCCACGCGAAAAAAATATGCCATTTGAAACAAATCCAAGAATCGTAGATGCCGTCAGTACACAGCATCCTGCCATACACTACGACGTGCCCATGCCCCTTGTCGATTGCAAGGCTTCCACTAACCGCTCTTTTGATGCGAGCCAGGTCCAAGGCCGCTAATCTTGACCCCAGACATGCATACATCTGCCTGACCACCTTGCTGCTGCTGTCGCCTCCAGCGAGCAAAGCGCTTCCGACACTGCCAGCCTCCACGCGGCCCTGCACCCCACTGTAAGAAGCTCTGTCCACCAGGGCATTCACTGCAGCTATCCATTTGTCAAGTCTTGGCACTGACAGAGGTAAACCACTAACGTGGCCATCCACTAGATCTTCCTGGTCAGGTTGGCTTTGGCCAGGGGACTGAAGCTTTTCCAAAGCTTGCACATGGACCTTCTGCTTCTCGTGGTTCTGCAAGTTGACAGATTTAAGAGCTTGAACCTTCGTCACGGCCAATCTCCCAAAAGCTGTTTTGACGCCAGCTGAATGGCAAACCCAGCAGCCGACTTGGAAAGGTGAGTCCAAGCAAACTAGCCAAGAGGCATGACCTTGTCCAAACTTGAACACGCACTTGCGCTTCCAGGAGTGCTCCCATGAAGCTGGCTTGAGGCCCGCAGCTGACTTCCGCAAACGGCCCAAATAGCCTAGCAGCAGGGACGATTTCCAAAGATGCAATGCAATCCGCTATCCACGCTTACACACGAACCACAGGACAAGTGTGTCTTTAAGACCAACAAACTACCTACAGCAGAAGAACTCAATAGAACTCATGAACAAGAATCAAAACTTGCATGGATTCAGACCAATGGGGTGTGCAAAGCTCTGGGTAGTAACAAAAATGAGCCACCCCGCGCCACCTCTGCAGTACCTCTACGGCACCTCTACAGTACCTCCCCGGCACCTCTACAGTACCTCTCCGGCACCTCTATAGTACCTCTATGGCACCTCTACAATACCTCTGCGAAACCTGTCAGCTTGACTACATAGACATATAGGCTGACAATGCAATGGAAAAACTGTGGCACCACATCGTCAACATGCTAAGGCCCAGAAAACAGACGCCACCACCATCACATGAAATATGGCCATGACACCAGCCGCAAACCAACAATGGACGCAGGTGTGGTGATCTTGCTGGCAGGTGTTCAAATGGTTTTGCAACTCCGTGCTGCTCTGCTGGCGTCCTTGCAGTATCGGCGGCGCATCGCTCACATCGGCAGCGGCTAAGGCCATGAACAACGCTAAATCTATCCTAATGGGTGTGCTGAAAAAGCGTCACTCTAGCTGTTGGAATTGTGCTTGGATACAGTTGCTGTCTTTTTTGCCAACTCTCTACGGTTTGCCTTGATTGTGCCCATGTCCATGCTGCCTCAAAAAAAAACGCACAAACATGGGCATGGCCGTCCACAAAAAACGGCTTCCACAAGCGGCCCAGCAAATCCGAACAAAGCAATCTTTCAATGAAGCTGCTTGACCCTATGTTCATAGTTTTTCCTCTTTCCAATCTCTGTGTCATCTACCTTTTGGTTTCTCTAGCTGCTCCAACTCCACTGCTAAGATTCAAGCACTCAAAATGGAGGTGATCTCATACACAGACATAAACATAAATATGTGTATATATGTATAGATATATGTACTTGTTTGTTTGTTTGTAACACGTAAGGAGCCCAACTCCCTAAAGTCCTAGTTATGGTATGCTTTAGTGGTATTCTGTGGGAGTACCTCCACTTTGGATGCTTGAACAAACCATCTTCGTCCCGACAAATCCAGCCTCAGTGCCCATCACGTTGGCAGCGCCCGTATACATATATATATATATATATGTATATGTATGCATGCATGCATGCATGCATGCATGCATGCATGCATGTATGTATGTATGTATGTATGTGTGTGAGTATGTGAGTATGTGAGTATGTATTTATATCTATCTATCTATCTATCTATCTATATATATATACCTCTCTCTCTCTCTATCTGATTTTTCTTTGATCCACTGGCAAACTGTTGGGCACAGGAGTGGAAATATGACGTGGTCCAAAGTGTGACTTGCCAAACCAATAAAGATTAAAGATTAAAGCTGAAAGCTAGGGTGGTTCAAGTTATTGAGAGTGGGGGGCTGGTGAGGTCCCAATTGTCATGTTTCATTCACAATTTTAAGCGTATGGGTCGAAATCATAAACACAAAATTCATGGAACCATGAATGAACAATGACCCAATTTTTGTAGACGCGTTGATACACCAATTGTGACCCCATACCCATCCATGGAATATACGGAACCATATCATCCCAAATGGAATCAAAAAATCTATGAAACCAGCAACAAAAGTCATCTTCGCCCAATGATTGTTGCTTCTTCACAGCATTTTCGTGTGATTCAGTGATATCTGAGACCACCACGCATTTTTTGTTGCTAATATCAAGTTTTACCATGTTTTACCGCCAGTTGAACGGTCAAACTTCAGGATGTTTGACGTACCTATGGAAAATTGCCCGTTTATAGATGATTCATAGCTACGTAAAATTACCAGAGGGTATAGGCAACAAATCATGATCCTGCAAGAGCACCAGAAGCACCTCTGCCCTAGCTGTCCCATCTTGGACAATGGACAAGCGCAGGAGCGGTCCCTGCGTGCCCTCAGTCTGCTCAGTGCACGGGCCATTCATCCCAATGATGCTGGTGATTGGGATGTTTATTATTGGATATTATTGGACATTATTGGTATTGTTTTTTTGTTCTATGATCATTATGGTTGATATTGATGATGATGATGGTGATGATGATGATGATGATGATGGTGATGATGATGATGATGATGATGATGATGATGATGATGATGATGATGATGATGATGATGATAATGATGATGATGATAATGATGATGATGATGGTGATGATGATGATGGTGATGATGATGATGATAATAATGATGATGATGATGGTGATAATGATGATAATGATGATAATGATGATGATGATGATGGTGATGATGATGATGATGATGCTGGTGGTGGTGGTGATGACTGTGATGACTCTGATGACTGTGATGACTGGGATGACTGTGATGTCGATCGTCATATTAATTGTGATCATAATGATGATGGTGGCGGGAATGAGGAGGGAAGAGGATGGACCCAACTTGCACATGCGTCTATGTGTCAAACTTGAAAATGCCCTGACTCAGATGTTGGATCATATTGGATCATGGTAAATTATAATAATTCAATATAATTCACTAACCTGAAATGTTGGGCCATTTTGGGATGATTCCCCTTATTAACCATGATTCCAGGGTTCGGTCGCAGTGAGGTCGTGATCAAATTTACCCAGATTCATGAAATATCCTGGTGATCTATTGGTTAAATCCCCAATTGTATAACATTAAAAATTGCATGTTTTTCCTTTTCATGAACAACTGCATAAAATCATATATGATATCATGGTCCTCTGGTAACCAGCCACATAACTATGGAAAACCACCATGTTCAATGGGAAAATCCACTATTTTCTATGGCCATAAAATCATATATGATATTGGATGATGTTGGTAGGTCTATGGTTCGATGATCGTCCCCAAGCGTCCAATATTCATGTAACGTATGTGGAAAACCTGGTAAAGCCTAAACCAGTCCCAACTCATAAACCATCCCCAATAGATGTTGATGAAAATGAGGGTATACCCCTAGAAAATGGATGATGAACCCCAGTCATGGTTGGTGAATGGGATGGTTTATTACCGCACTAATCTTGGATTTGCTTAAGGAACCCCCCAAAAATATATATATTATATTCCCCCCCCGAAACAAAAAACATGGAGTGGATTTTCCATTGGAAAAACAACAAATCATCTTCAGCAAAACCAAGTAAGGCAGTTTAGTTTCTTCGCAGGACACATTCGGAAACCTTCCACAGACAGCGCCATTTTCCAGGTCTCCACGCATGATCTCTCACCTGCAGGTCAACGGCAGTAAGGAAATTATATTCCATGACGGATCCATGCATGCTATATATGGTAACATTTACCATCAATATATCAATATACCCCAGTCATGTTAGCATATATACCAGCACCATGGATCCGTCATGGGTATGGAATTATGGCCTTGAACAATCTGGAAAAATCGTTTGAAGAAACGAGATCCAAACGCTAGTGAAACGTGCGTGAAAACACCAAAACCTCTACTGAAGTAATTGAATAACTGGAAAAAATGCAAGCCGGGGTGGCGGGAGCTTCCCAATTGGATGCCAAAAGTATTGGTTTGGGTATGATGTTCCTTCGGTGTTTTGTCTTTGTGTACTGTTTGCATGTCAGACACTTTTTCAATGATTAAGTCATATTATCATAATCTTAAAGTTAATCATAAACTGGTTGGTGTTTTCAACCCCTCTGGAAAATATGAGTTCGTCAGTTGGGATTATATTCTTCCCAACTGAATGGAAAGTCATAAAATTCATGTTCCAAACCACCAACCAGTAATGAATCATGGTCATTTCATGTCTAGATATGTCCATTTTTTTCTCTTCCACCTCAGAGAAGTTTGAAAAAATGGGACCGAAGCCTCCTACGGTCCTGTCCCTGGCTCCCCTCGTTGTCGTAAGACATTTGCTGGGGGGCGCCTTAAAATGGATGTGTCAATGGGGACGCCCATTTTCAGGCCATGTAGTAGGGAAAATGGATAAACATTGCTATCATTGATAAACCAATGGAATTTAGGGGTACACTATTTTCAGACAAACCGATATAAGAAAATGCAACTTGCTGACCTGTTGTTTTTTTTAAGTCCCAAAGGGGGGGCAAGAATTCTACGTTACAGGTCCCCCAAAAGCGTGACCCACAAAAAGGCAGGAATGGTTCAATCCATACAAAAAGATTGCTCAACTACTTGGGATGAGTACTCAAGGTCGAGATCAAAAGTAAGAAATGACTGAAATCACAAACTACATGGATGGTTTAGCTGCTTTAGCTAATCATCTACTTACCCCAGGCCATACTCCACCATACTCCATTTCTAGACAATTCCCCTGGGTTTCTCTGAAAATCGTGTACTAATGTACTAAGTCTATTGGATTCTCATCATCCTTATATCAGAATAGCGAGCTATTTGCAGGTATTTATATGACCCTCTGGTTATTTAACGTAGACCAGTGGAAAATGGCCCATTTCTAGACGATAAACATGATGATTTACCTATTGAAAATGGTGATTTCCCATAGCAAACCGTTAAATCACCAGAGGGTAAGATTTTTCTATATGGGGATGGGTCAAAACCCTGGTACCCTAGGTACCCTACAATAGCTGGTTTATTCTCCCAAATGTGGTAATAAGAGGTTTTGACCCATTCCCATATTTTCAGACACATCCACCTTGCGGGATTTTCTTCGGCGTTTCCGCCATTGCTCACCTCCAGCAACGCTCCCACGCGGCTGCCAGAGAGCACATGGACGACCGGCCGCCAGCCGTCTGGCCTCGCCGCAAAAAATGGCAGACAAATCGCAGAAAAATGACGAGAAAAAGAATGATAAACATGGAGGTGTGTCATCAACCATCATGGGACTTTGAAATTAATTCAGCTAACCAAGTGGATAGTCACCATGGTAGGGCTCTGGTTCGAAATTTCACGATGTGGCTGAGATCAGGTCACACAAACAGCATCAAAAGCACCAACCAGACTTCGGCACGATTCTCACAACTCAAATCACTGGTTGGTGGTGTCAACCCCTCTGAAAAATATTAGTCAGTTGGGATGATTCTTCCCAATATATGGAAAAAAAAAATGTTCCAAACCACCAACCAGGTACTGTAATAGATGATTTTCACATACCCCTTTGAGGGGCAGAAAAGCCTTAATCAACCATCATTATCCATGATTGGGGAATATATTCACTAAGCCATGTTTCAGGCAGGCCTGCAAACTTCCGTCGCCCCAAAGAGCGCACGTGGAAGCTCACCTGCGTTCCAAACCACCAACCAGGTACTGTAATAGATGATTTTCACATACCCCTTTGAGGGGCAGAAAAGCCTTAATCAACCATCATTATCCATGATTGGGGAATATATTCACTAAGCCATGTTTCAGGCAGGCCTGCAAACTTCCGTCGCCCCAAAGAGCGCATGCCACGAGGAATGTCACCCCTCGATGAGAAAGTGGAAGAACGGTGGCTAGTGCCAAAAAGATAGAAACACCAATCTCTCTATGTTGATGCTACATTTTATATATATATATGTGTGTGTCTACATATATATATATTATATATATATACATATATATTATATATATATATTATATATATACATATATATATATACACGTATGTAATATGTATATGAGTCTTTATGTTTTTTATATCTTCAGTTCTTGGGAGACCCTAAAAAAACAAAAATTTCCACTGTGCCGCGAAATTTAAGGGGCGTCACTTTCGGATGGATCTTGACCTATTTTTATGGAAAAAAACATCCAGTTTTGTAGGTTCTACCCACATCAAAAATCACCAAAATAGCTGATATTAGCTGGATGTGAAATAACCCACCTCAAAAATCACCATGGCAAGGATCATTTTCGCCCGCCTCCCAAGAGGAATGAGCCGGGCCTCCAGTGACTCCAGTGCTGGCGGGTTTCAGATGAGTTTTTGGTTGCGAAACCAGGGATATTGTGGATGGTTGCGAAACCCTGCACCTCAAAAGGATGGTTGAAACCTCATAAATGATGGGAAATACTGGGATCTTTGCCACCTATCAACTGGGGATTTGGATTTCGCAACCATCCACAGTATGATGGGTATGTGAAACCTATACACAAAAAACCAACGGAATGGCCGGAACATCTACGTACTATGGCCAGCATGTGTTTCAACACCAGAATCGGGGGGTCCTAGGAGTCCTAGGAGTCCTAGGAGTCCTCGGTCGCACCTGGTTGATTTTAGAAAACATCTTGTGAACCATATGAGCCATGAAAATCCAATACCCCAAAAATCCAACCACGTCATGAAATGCTACTTGGTTGATCGGTCACTTTCCCTTTTGTCACCAAGGTATTTTCATAATTCATACCCTCTGGTAAACTAACATAACTATTGAAAATGGCCCATTTATAGTTGATTTACCTATTAAAAATGGTGATTTTCCATAGTTACGTTTGCTTACCAGAGGGTATATATATAAACATATGTATCCCAGTGGTGGTTGAGCCAACCAGGTCCCACTCGTAGGATTTACCAAGGGGTCGGATTTGTGTTTCTTTCTAGCAAACCATTCTGCACCAGGGGAGGAAAAAAAAGTTTCATCAATCTGGGTAAATTATAATATTTCACTAACCTGAATTAAGGCCACCAACTTCTTGCGGTCCCTACCTGAATTAAGGCCATTTGGGGATGATTTCCCTTCTTAACCATGATTCCAGTGAGGGAGAACAGTGAGGTCGTTATAATTTACCCGGATCAATGGAATCATCATCTTTGGGTAAACCATAGCCATGAGACTTCGGTGGTCAAAAGTCGGCGAATTGAATCGTGTTGCACTGGCTCCATGACATTCATGACTTCCAAACAATCATCACCAAGCACCAATCACCAATCACCAATCATCCATTAATAACCATTGATAAACATTAATAAACCACTACCATCATCATCACCAATCATCACCAATCATCACCAATCACCAATCATCACCACTATTCTTTGGGGCTTAGTAATCCATATCACCTATACGTCGCCACTGCACTCCTTAGGCTTCCAGGCAGCTCCTGAGGCAAGGGGTCCTGGCGAGGCGGCGTTCGGCGTTAAGCTGTCTGGCTGATGATGGGACCATGATCACTGGGCGAAGATCATGGGAATCATAGGCTTGTATCATCTGGTTGGTGGTTTCAACCTACCCCTCTGAAAAATATGAGTTCGTCAGTTGGGATGATTATTCCCAATATATGGAAAAACAAAAAATGTTCCAAACCACCAACCAGTCATGTTATATCTCCCAACATCCTCTGGTTGCTCATCGTTTATCCATATTTGTCCCATTAAAATTATCATTTTGAAGCACAAAAAAAAACCTGAGGACGTGCAATTTTTGATTCCTCAATTCTTGGGGATTTGCGATCGCCTGAAATGGAAAAAATCAAGAAGATCATCGAATCATCGATCATCCCAACCCATGATTTTAAAAAGTTTCACGAAAAAACCCACCACAAGAACTCCAACACTACTGGTTGGTGGTTGAGCCACCTACCCCTCTGAAAAATGATGGAGTGAGTTCGTCAGTTGGGATGACATGACCTTCCCAACTGAATGGAAAGTCATGAAATTCCATGGTTCCAAACCACAAACCAGTATCTCATCATTATTATTCCATTATTAACCATATCATCACCATATCATCACCAAATCATCACCATTATTAACCATATTCCATGGTTCCAGTCACCACCAATCAGACTATGTGGATGCTGCCTCAAATATCCTCGCTGGCCACTGATTCCTTTCCGCTCCTGCATACGAAGGCCCTTGGACCAGCAAAAGCCAAGCCTTGGACCGCGTTCTTCGCTGAAACCAATATCTTGATGGCTTTAAGGGAAAATCTACAGGAAACCATGGTTTTTACCATCAAATATAATCTTAACATATCTTAACCGGAAACCCATGGTTTTTACCATCAAATATAGGGGTTTCCTGGTATAATTTTCCCATCCAATTCTATGAAATATCTTGATGAGAAGAAACTGAAGTTGTCCCACAGTGACTGAAGCTATGTAGAAAAAATATTAGCAATATGAAATACAATTATAACATATTATATAAGTATAAAGTAATATAGAGATATAACTTAAATGGACTAACCAACTTATGATAGCAACCAAAAGTGATAGCAATATAAGTGATAGCAACCAACCTTGCGGACTAAGCAACTGTGGGAGATACCCCAATCCTCAACCTGGCGAAACTGAACCGCTTACTATCTCTCCTGGATTCCTGCACCAGCAGGACAGCGTTTTTCGCTGGGCCCGAAAAGTAGGTCGAGATGCGAATTTTCAGGTTTCTTGAACCTTTGGAGGGATCACCAGGAAGCCAGGAGTGCAATCTTCCGAGTTCTTGTTCTAAGTACTTTTCAAAGTTCTCTAAAAGTTGATTATAGAACAAAGCGTTGTTTGTACATGTTAAATGCACTTCTAAGTCAAATAGTTGTTCTAAGTACTTTTCGAAGTGATTTCTTTCTATAATCATGTATATATGCGTATATTCATACATAGGTACCCCAAAATAGATCGAGCAGTTGAAAAGCTGGAAACTCAGGTACACATCAGCTACAACATCCTGGATCTCATTGTTTTCCCGCTGTGCTTGTCCGGAAACAAGCTACCCCTAAAGTCCAGCGGTTCAAAGCCTCGTTTACCCATAATTTTCTAGAATAGCCCATGGAATTTTGGACCTACCCTCTGGTTATTTAACATAGCCATGGAAAATGGCCCATTTATAGATGGTTTACCTATTAAAAATGGTGATTTTCCATGGCTATGTTAGTCATAACCAGATGGTATCATTTCTGGACGAACCACCAACCAGTTACGTCCATGGAGTCCATGGGTATCCATTCCTTTTGTTTATGATCAACTCCAGGATCAACTCCCCATAGTTGACTGGTTTTACAAAACCCTAGGCTGGTTGGTGGTATATACATTGATTAATGGTGATTAATGGTGATTAATGGTGATTTAATGATGGTTAATGATGATTAGTGATGGTTAATAATTCGTCAGTTGGAATGATTGTTCCCAATAGATGGAAAAATGTTCCAAACCAGCAACCAGTAAGGGCTTCGTAATTTGCAGATCCCGCACGTTCCGTTCGATATGTCCAGGGACGCCAAAGTTCGGCTGGTCTCAAGTTCAGTCTGCAGAACCTGCAACGACAAGACAAAAATGCCATGTAAATGGGCCATATACGTGCATCAATATGTGTATATGCAGATGGCTCATTGCCAGGTATATGGAGTCGATATATCATGATGGCTCATCCTACTTGGGAAGCAGCTGACATAGCTGGTTGTAAGGTGGCTAGGTAGGCTTAGCCCACTTTTCAGTGCGCTTGCAACCTACTTGCCAAACGGAGTGAACCACCAGGTAGGAGGTAGGATTCTATGCATTTGCATATTGTAAATATATGTAAATATGGTAACTATAACTATAATCTAGATATTCTAGTTGTTAATGTTCAATCATGTGTAAATCATATACCCAGCTTGATTGATTTAAGACTCATATTTTTGTTTGTCTGAAAACAGGCTACTTCTATACCTACCTCTAGCTTATTTGCCGTTTCTAATACTCGACTTTGGCGGAACTATTTTCAGAGAAATCCATATGGAAAACATATGTCCAATTAATCCTACCCTCTGGTTATTTAACATAGCCATGGAAAATCACCATTTTTAATAGGTAAACCATCTATAAATGAGCCATTTTCCATGGCTATGTTAAATAGCCAAAGGGTAGTTGTATCATGATGTCATACTGGTTGGTGGTGCAATAACCATCTTGAAAAATGATGGAGTTCGTCAATGGGAAGGGTGACATCCCATATATGAAATGGAAAAAACAAATGTTCCAAACCACCAACCAGCATATGATATTCACATCATATCTATACGGTTCTATACGGACATGGTGGTGTTAAAATCTACGGGAATTCCATGATTGAAAACCATATTCTAAGAGGCCGGGAAAATCTGGCGATGGCGAGTCAATTTCATGGTCAAGGACCCTGTGATGTCATTTTCAGTGTAAAAGAATTCCATTGTCAGAAGTAAACATTACTTTGAACCATACCCCTCTCTGGTTTACAGGCCAATCTTGGACACCCTACAAGGTTCTAAAGTTGGACAGCTGGATGGCACGATTCCCTCAGTGTCTGGCTCAAAAGTGGCCCATTAAGCAAGAAAAGGGGGCAGAGTTTACCTAGTTTGAAAATCCGTGAAAACAATTGTCAATCAACTAAATCTCATCATATCTTATCTTTGCATGTTTCCCAGTTCAATCCTCATGGTTTTGTATAGTTTTACCCACTTGGGGGTGCCAATCGACTCATAGAATTGGTCAATCTTACTATAGAACTATCAATGTTGGCTGGTTGACGGTTTCGACCCATTCCTAACTCCAGAAAACACGTCTTAAGTTAACTGAATCCCATTTTTACTTGCTTGAATCCCCCCATTTCATCGTATTTCAGGGATCTACCCAATGGCTGATCTCGGCTACCCTACTACGGTAAACAGCTCAACGTTGAACAAGTTAGTCAGGTTGGTGGTTTTAACCATCTTGAAAAATATAAAAGTCACTGGGAAGGATTATCCCATATATTATGGAAAATAAAAAATGTTTGAAACCACCAACCAGTAGTCTATGTTTTTGTCCCATGAAAATGGCAAAACTGCAGGCCATCTTGATCTACACTTCCTACACTTCCCCAGTTGGTTGACCCTGATGTTTCGTTTGTTACACAAACGTTGCTTGGTTAAAGCGCCGTTGTTTGGCTGGTCAAACTTACATGTCATCATTTTTTTCTAAAAGTGTTGCACGTTTTATCATGGTTTTCCCGGATTTTTTTGGGGTATGGGTTTGTCGATACGACAGCGTCACAAACCTTGATGTAAAAAATCACAAAATCATCATTTTCAAACCATGATGTATCCATCAGATCCCCATATTCTGCAATGTGGGGCCCCCAAGATAGCGTTCAGTTGGTTTATAACTACAATAACTAGGGTTTATGGTAGTTATAACCATAGTTAGATGGGGTTATAAACCAACTTAGCTATCTTGGGGGCCCCACATTCTGGAGTTGATTGCCTTATAAATGGCTACGTTGACGCCATAAACATGGTATATAAATCAACCAAGTGGGCTTGGAAAACGCAAGCACTGCGAAACAGCACTGACGAAAAATGGCACTTGCTGGGGATCACTATCCCAGAAATACATGGCTAATCAGCCAGATACCCTGCACAAAAATGAAAATTCTTAGCTGGTGAATGTAGATAATCCCATTGATCTGGGTAAATTATAATATTTCACTAACCTGAATTAAGGCCCATTTCCTTCCCAAAAGAGCCCGCGTCCAGCAGCAGCGGAACGCGAGCTCAGTGTCCAAGGCACTCAGCCCATTGGCCGGCAACAGGTAGTAAAACAATCAGCTTAGCTGATAAACCCACTAATGCCTATTTGGGGATGATTTCCCTTACTAACTATGATTCTAGTGAGGGAGAACAGTGAGGTCGTTATAATTTACCCAGATTAGTTTCATTTAGTTTCTACCCATCTAAGAGTGACCTGTCGGAAAAGTCGACAGCCCCCATCGCCTCTAGCTCGAAATAGTACGAGGCGCGCGGCGGCGCCAAGCCCCGTGCACTTCGACACTGCGACGGGGCGCCGCGCATGGGTCTGGCACGGGTAGCCCGAAGGGGTGAGGCAGGGGGGTGGCGAAGGTAACTGGCTGAATTGAGTTGGTAACAGGTATCTTGGACACTTCTATACATATATTTCGAATCATAGTGAGCCTTAGATACCTGGCCAATAAAAACTAATGTTTGGCTGGTGAATGTACATTTTATCATTTAAGTACTAGAGTATCTAACCAAGGTTGACCCAGGAAAGAAAATTGTGTTACCACGATATATGCATATTTAATATATAGAGAAAGAGAGACATTTGACCCTTGTATTCAGTGGGATATACAACCAAATAGATATGACTGGTATGACAGGTTAATGTGTGATATAGCCCACCGATAAGAAGGGTATAAACCGCTAACAGCTAGTAAGTGGATGAGTGGGATATGTACAGCATCAGGGGATATAATCTGATATAATAACCCATGTACTGACCAATTTCGGTGGCTACAAAACCATTTATGGATGTTTAAAGCTATCCTAAAGTCCATTTTTATTGGACTCATCTGGACTTCTACTTGGGGGCGCATCCCAGGTAGTGGGTAAGAACCATATTGTACCTCATTTATATGTGGAATATACTGAATTTGTCATGCATTGTAAACCACGTGATAATCCCCAATATACCTGTATGTATGTATATATATATATGCATATTGGATAGTATAATCCCCTAATTAATCCTCAATCAAAACCATCATGTACCCATTATATCCATATTGTTGGAATTGATTGCCTTATAAATGGCTAACAACTCCAAATCATGGTAAATCAACCAACCGGGGTTGGAAAACGAGCCCCACTGCAGCAGCAGCGGCACCGCAGCTGCTTGGCAGTCATGGCCAGACCTCCATCGAAAAAACTGTGAAATCAAGAAGGAAAAAAAAATGTGTATCCGCAGAAAATGGTTACCCTCTGGTAAACTAACATAGCTATGGAAAATCACCATTTTTAATGGGAAAACTCACTATAAATGGCCATTTTCAATAGTTATGTTAGTTTACCAGAGAGTATTTCATCTTGTTGGTGGTTTCAACCTACCCCTTTGAAAAATGATGGAGTGAAAGTCAGTTGGGATGACATGACATTCCCAACTGAATGGAAAAATAAAAAATGTTCCAAACCACCAACCAGGAATTCATAGATTGGACAAACAAAATGAAGAGCGTACCCTCCATTCAAAATCTCCGACTTCTACACAATCACCGATGATGTTCCATTCAAATCAGGAAAACTGACCAGAGCCATGCTTGAGTACAGAATATCCAAGATATTGTCAGGAATTTGTTTTCAAACCAACATGTTCCTTTTGTGTCCTTTTTTGAGTTGAGCACAATCATTGACTACAAGAGGTCTACATTGTTTGGGGTTCCAGGTAATTACATATTATAGATCTGTAGTTGTAGGGGTTATGTCTATAGTTATATACCCATATAAAGCCTAGTTATGTATGGGATATCCCCCGTTAGAGGCGGAAAAAAAAAACACTCGATCCCCATCAAACTGGATTGATCTTCCTATCTTCCCGTGGGTCTCTGCCTCCGTCTGTGTCCACGGCAGATTTCTTGGCCGCCACATCATTGCCTACCGCGCGAAGCGAAAGTGGAAGCTGTGCGGCAGGTACTAAACGAGCCAAGCACCTTGAAAAAGATATGGCGAACTGAGTCGAAATCCTATTACCCAGTTGGTACCCTAAGTCATAGCTGGTTAATGAATGTTTATGTCGCCAAATTATGGAAATAGTAGGTTTTGACCCATCCCCAAATTGGTTTGTCTGAAAAATTAGGGGACTTTTTTTACCGGTATAATTACCACAGTTTCAGACATACCCATATGGAGTGGCTCTTGTAATCAAACATTTGTCAAATGGAAAAGTAGAATTCCTCAGAATATATCTGGGTAAATTATAATATTTCACTAACCTGCATTGTTGGGCCATAAAAGGGGATGATTTCCCTAAATCTAAACCATGATAAACCAGGCTTCGGGAGAACAACGGCTTCGGTCGTGATCAAATTTACCCAGATATATGGTGAATGATCCATTGCTGGTTGGTGGTATACCTACCCCTCTGAAAAATATGAAAGTCAGTTGGGATTATTATTCTCAATACATGGAGGAAAAAAAAAATGTTCCAAACCACCAACCAGATTGTAAGATTGGATTCCAGGAGGGTGCCGTTCGGGGTTCACCGATGGGACCCTCCGTCCGGTGACGGGTCGCAAGTTTCCCCCGTCCGTTCTCTGAGTTTACCATGTTTTACCTGTGGAAAGTTGTGTTTTTTCCACAGCGAAAAAAAAGAATTTCCAGATGGCCACTTTTTCGTGGGCGAAGAGCTTGTGCCACAGCCATCTTGATGAAACATGTGATGATCAGAAAGCAGATTCATAGAGGGATAGCCTTTCTTTCCAACGCAACAGCGCGGCCAGTATGACTAACTTGTGACTGTTTTGGCACAACTGAAGGCACATTCTGCGAAACACTGGATTTGATGATGTAAACGTTGTTCTCATCTCCTCACAACATCTCACAATGGTTTTTTGGGGGATTGACATTTCGAACATCATTGAATCATGACCAAAACATACCAAAACGAAATAACCAACCCTAAATTGAAGATATTGAAGACGATAGCAACCCGCCAAAAAGAAGTATAAAATCCCACCACAACAGTGACGCCTCCCAGCGCCCGGGCCCAGAAGCCGCTGGCGGTCACCGTGCTCTGCTGCAGCAGCACGCTGTCAGCAGCATAGCCTCACCACGGATCTGATGTGTTTGGCACCGCCATGGGCTATTCTGACATTTTTCCCATAGAAAGGGCCTTCAATCAATGGTCATTTCAGGAACCTCAATTGGAGGTACCTACCATATATATGGCCTATTTTTCAGGCCTATAAATTCCCAGTGATTCAATATCTAGATTTAGAATTCACGGGCTATGCTGTGCTGTTTGATAGGTTTTTCGAAGTTGGAAGAATAGAAAGGGAAAGCATCCCATCCACCCCAAGGGCTGCCAGCCAATCATCTGGAGTTACCCGCATGTCATCCATGAAGATAGTTACCCTCTGGTAAACTGACAGCCGGCTATGCCAAATCACCATTTTAATAGGCAAATAGTCTACAAATTGGCCATGTTCAATATATAGCTGTGTTAAATTACCAGGGGTAGTTTCTCACATGTGATGTCTAATCAGCCCAAAATGAAGAAACATAGTAAAGTATCCCAGTCACTGAGGCATTTCAGCCAGCTGATTACTTTGGAGTGGATGATCACAACATATCACAACCATGGAAAGGGTAATGGTATATAATGGTGTATATATAGAGTATGAATGAAATATAGTGCTATTACATTGATAAACTATGTAATACCTGCATGCACAATCATTTGCGTTGGATCATGCTTGGAGATCTCACATTGAGGCAACAAGCTGGGCGCCATCATATCCATCTCCTATGATCATCGTAAGTGGTTAGTAACTATGGTGATCGCAAGTCGCAGATTCTTAAAGTTCTCCCATTCATAGGGTGAACTAACACCAGCTACTAACCACAAACACTTTCCTGGTTGGTGGTGCAATAACCATCTTGAAAAATATGAGTCAATGGGAAGGAATATTCCATATATTATGGAAAATAAAATTCATGTTTCAAACCACCAACCAGTTTCTGGGATGATCCTCTAAGGGGTGAATACCGCGAAGATCCTCCGAATTGAAGTGGGGGGGTCCCATGTTTAAGTGAGCGATGTTGTGTCAACCCTGGATTAATAAACCCCATTTACGGCTGTGAAAAATTGGGAAGGTACCATTTAAGTATCAAAACATGACTATTGGGGGAATACCCCTCTATTTAATCCGGGGTTGACATTACTCCCAAAGAACCTCATTCACTGACTAAGTTGTCCCAGTATAACCAAAAAAATTGTCAAAGCCAGATTTCTATTGGCCAACTTCCCCAATGTTTGTGGGTTACAGTCACAGTATCACCAAAAATTCAACCCAAACAAGGGGACCTATTTCTTCAGGGGGACGTGTCATTGGGACCTCTTTCTTCAGGTTCCGTGTCAAATTCAAGGGGTTAAGATACACCCCTCATGTTTTGTTGGCTATTAACCACCCACAATTTATATAATGTTATTGATGTTTCACCAGTTCCAACCCAATTTTTGTTCCATCTTCCAAGGAGAACCAGCAGCCAAGGTACCGAAGGCTAAAGGCACCAGTTTGCTGCGGAACTTCCGCGGCGTGGGGCTGCTGTTGCTACTGGAGGAGTCTTCCTCACACCTGCGTTTGACAAGGGGAGGGCGCTGTGTATGGAGGTTTCTTTAAGGAAAGGTTTCCTAAAATGGAGGTACCCCCAAATCATCCAATAATAGACCATGTTCGTATTGAGGCAATGGAAAATTGGAGGAGCTCCAAATGATCCAAATGGTTTAAGGTACAGTAGCCCACCTGTATTTGATCTTGCTTAACACGTCGACGGAATACATAAACAGGACTGCAATGGGCATTGAATGGGGAAGAAATGGGTATAGAGAGAGGATTTACCATTTCAGATATATCTATTTGAATATTTGGTCATCACATAATTCCTGGCGATCAATGGTGTCCTGATTGGGACCGTCCCAGCATATGGCCATTCAAAGATGTGGGATCAGGTAAAATATAAATGAATAAATACATATATATTATTTTTATTTATATATGTAAAAGTTATACATATATATATATATGAATGAAGTACATATATATATACAGTATATTATTTATATTATTTATATTTATATGTGTATTATTTATATATATACACCTTATTTATATATATATATATTATATTCAATATATATATATATATTATATTATATTATCTTATATTATATTATATTATATTATATATATTATATTATATATATTATATTATATATATATTATATTATATATATATACATATTATTACATATATTATATTATATTATATATATTATATTATATATATATATTATATTATATATATTATATTATATATATATATTATTATATATATTATATTATATATATATATTATATCATATATATATTATAAATATATAGTATTAAATATATATATATTATTATATACATTATTATTATATATATTGTTATTATATATATATATTATATTATATATATAATAATATAAATTATTCTTATATATTTTTATTATATATATTATAAATATATATATTATATATATCATTTTATTATACTATATATGTTATTATATTATATATAATATATAATATATAATATTATATATATTATATTATATATATATATATATATTATATATATATTATATATATTATATAATCACATTATATATATATTATATTATATATAGTTCATATTATATATATTATATATATTATATATATTATATATATTATATATAGTTTATATCATATGCAATATATTATAATATAAGTACAAATAATATAATATATATAATAAAAAATATTTATATATAATATGAATTATTTATATATATATATATTATACTATAATATACATAGTTTATATTATTATATATATATTATATTAAATGATATATATGATATATATGATTATATATCTTATTGTATATATTATATCATATTATATATCTTATTGTATATATATATATTGTATATATATATTGTATATATATATTATTATGTATATATATTATTATGTATATTATATATATATTAATATATAATGTATATAATATATATATATAAAATATAATATACATTGTTTACATATATTATTATTTATATCTATATTTATATATGTTATATATATATGTTATATATATATATTATTTACACATATATATATATTTATATATATATATGTATATTATCTAAATATGATTTAAATATTTTTTATATTTTAAATATTCTTTATATATTATTTATATATTCTTTATATATTACTTATATATCATTTATATATTATCTATATATTATTTATGTATTATTTATATATTATTTATATACTATTTATATATTGTTTATATATTATTTATATATTATTTATATATTATTTATATAGTATTTATATATTATTTATATATTATTTATATATTATTGATATATTATTGATATATTATTGATATATTATTGATATGATTTATATATTATTTATATATTATTTATATTATTTATATATTATTTATATATTATTTATGTATTATTTATATTATTTAGATATTATTTATATATTGTTTATATATTATTTATATTATTTATATATTAGTTATATATTATTTATATATTAATTATATATTATTTATATATCATTTGTATATTATTTATATATTATTTATGTATTATTTATATTATTTAGATATTATTTATATATTGTTTATATATTATTTATATTATTTATATATTAGTTATATATTATTTATATATTAATTATATATTATTTATATATTATTTGTATATTATTTATATATTATTTATGTATTATTTATATTATTTAGATATTATTTATATATTGTTTATATATTATTTATATTATTTATATATTAGTTATATATTATTTATATATTATGCATATATTATTTATATTATGTATATACACCATTTATATGTATTGTTTATATATATACACCATTTATATATAGATATATATATATATAGTTTATATTATATATATATATTATCTATATTATATATATTATATATATATATTATTTATACATATATGTATAAATGTGGCGAACCGAGTCAAAACCTCAGCACCCAAATGGTACCCTAAGTTATAGTTGGTGAATGGATGTGAATAAAGCCCCAAAATGTCCTAAGGTGGACCTAAATCGATATAAGACAAAGATGGCAACGCCAAGCCCAGATCAATCAACCCCCCCGGTTGTGTTCATTGGGTGGCAATATTTCAATGGCCAATTATCACATGTTGGGGGTAAACCTAACTGATCTGCCAGGGTGTACTGACATGGGTTTCTCAAAAAGAGTAGCCCTCAATTCCCTTGGTTTATCGCTATGTCTCCTATTAAAGTTGCCAAGTTTGGAGGATAGCAGCTCTCACCGCAGTTCCCTACCTCCCCTATGTTTGTTGGTTTAGTTTCACCCCATGAATAGTTCGTTATATCTACCATAGGCCATAGAATTCACCTCTAGTTACATGAATCAGCCCTATAGATACAAACTATTTGGTTTATAAATCCCATAAATACTATAGTTATATTTAACATAAGCCATAGATAGCTAACAGCAGTTATGTTCACCAAACTTAGCGAGCTATCGTTACCACGGGTCAGAGTTGCCTGGGAGGTACTGTCAGCCGGTTGGATTTCTCCTCAGAACACACCCCCGGGTCGAGGGTCGTCGAGGGTCGTCGATGTGGGAAACCTATGGAAATCTGAAATATGAAGCAAATATCATTTACCCAACTTGGTTATGACTAACACTTTGCAAACTGGGAAATCACCATTAAAATAATAATAATAGGTAAATCATAGGTTTGATATATATATTTATTTATTTTTTTGATCATCTATAAACAATGTGCCATGTTCCATAGCTATATTAAATAACCAGAGGGCATCCTGGAAACACTTTTCTAAATCGTTTTCGAATTGTTTGCTATATATGAAAATGGGGTAGACCGGGTAGACCCCTCAAATTTCTATTTTTACAGGCAAAATGATGAGTAACACAACTGCTGATCAGAATTAACTTGACTCAAATTGCTCAAAAACGGGGAAAGTGAACTTATTGGTCACCTATCTTGATCCAATTTGAGGTCTCACTAAGGTGGGAGCTCCGACGTTTTTCACTTTGAGCACTAACTGAAATTACAAAAAGGTGCAAAGACACCCAATTACCCAGAGAAAGCATGGTGAATAAATCCTCAATTTTTGGTTTGTGGCATTTATGCGTGGAGAAACGAACCCTACTTACTTGCAGTATCAGTTGCGATCCCTTGGACGATCCTGTATGGTTTCTGTCCCAATCACTTCCCAAATGTCTTAAATCATACAACCGGAAGGTCCTGGAAGTTTCGGCTAGTGATCTGGCTACAACCCATAACTTGGAGTTGCTCAAGGAAACCAAAAAAACAAAAATCCCATAGATTCCCCAGGTAGTGGATTTCCCATTGGGAAAATAAAAAATCACCTTAAGCAAAACCCAAAGATTTAATGATCTCGCACATGTTTGGGGGATTACATCCCAGTTACGAGTCGTCATGCTTTCCTGTACAAACCCAGGGTCATTTGCTCCATGTCCCCCCAAACGCATCTATTCATGTTGAGTTCTTCATTGATTTCCCCAGAGATTTTAAGATGTTACATATAGACATAGACTCATTGACTTTCCCAGGATTTCATAGATTTCCCCCCCAAAGATATCAGGTGTTCATAGATTTCCCCCCCAAAGATATTTTCGGTGTTCATAGATTTTCCCAAGAATTTTCTTGGAGCCGTTCCCCCAAAGATCTCCGAGAATTAACCCAACATCTGGCTGTCGCCGCCTTCTGTAGCTTTGCCGGACTGGTGCTGTCCGGACTGCGGTCTCCTGGCTGTGGCTGATTCATGTACCATCTGGCTATGACTAACAGTTCGCCATGGAAGCCATGGCCTATTTATAGATGGTTTACCTATAAAAAAATGGTGATTTTCCATGGCTATGTTTTATAAATGAAGGTTTATAGTTGGGAAAATCATCTATTTCTATGCACCATCTATACCATGGCTATGTTAGTCATAACCAGAGGGTATCTAATGTTGGTAAAACAATGAAAAACCATCCCTAAAAATGGCTACTAAATAGAAAAAAAACAAATCCCTTGGATTATAGCCATGTGAAAATTCGAAAATTTCTCATGGTCCCTATTAAAATAGCCATTTAGAGGTATCATGTTGGTAAAACAATGATAAACCATCCCCCAGTCATCCCCATTCTTATAGGTGGTATAGTAGAAACCATTCCCAGTCGACTGGGTGGTTTGCGACATTGTTTTACCCACATAGGTGAATTCGATGGTATATGTATATGGTAGATATATCATATATCTACCATATACCATCGAATTCACCTTTTTCATGTGGGTAATAAACCATATTTCTACCATATATGTAGATATGTCCCAAAAAACGCTAGTATTGATGGGGCTTTATTGTTGGGGTTTTATAAACCCCAACTTGAAGTCCAGTGGATCCAGTGGATCCAGTGGATAGTGGATCCAGTGGATCTTTCCAAAGCCGAGTGGTTCCAGTGGATGTTTCTGGTAGATATAGATCTATTGTTATAAACTAACAGTTCGCCATGGTTAAGCCATGGCCCTAATCGAAATAGATGGTTTAGCGAACTTAATAGCATGGTGGATCTTTCCATGGCGAACTGGCAATGTCATAACCAGATGGTAGATCTATTGTTACACACAGGGGCACCACCTCTGTAACCTAAGTGAACAGTGTTCAAAAGCCTCTGTCGTATCGGGGTGCCAATTCATTATGTGAAGCTGTGCAGGAGTTTTAGAGCGGTCTAACTTTGGTGCATAGGCCTCAGGCTTTAAAATGCACAAAAACAATGAAAACTGGCTCTGCAATAAAATGCCTTGCCACCAAATTCATGCTTGAATGTGCATCCAACATCATCCAATTTCATCCAATTTCAAAAACCCTCAGAAACGCCTCTTTAAAAAGGGGTCAGGAAATTCTTTTTAGATAGGGGTATTTTAGAGTGAAGGTGCCCAAATATTAAGTGTGTTTCTTTTTTTATAGCATTTTATAGCAACAAAATACGGTGGCATTCTTGCGTGGCAATTCCTTAAAATTCCTTAAAAACTCCTTAAAATCCCTTAAATATCCTTTAAAATTTAAGAACATTAAAGATCCTTAAAAATCCTCCAAATTCCTTCAAATTCAGTCAAATTCCTTTAAATTCCTTAAATTTCCTTAAAATTCTTTAGAATTCCTTCAAATTCCTTAAAATTTGCTGATCTAAAATGACATGCCCAATAAAATCGATATAAAAAAAAAAAATCCTGGAAAAACACTGGTTCCATTCTGCAATAAAATGCTCCAAGCAAACATTTTTTGCAATAAAATGAGAATGGAATTTTAACATGTTAAAAATCATCAGGATTTACCTTTACAATAAAATGCTTGCTTAGCCCAACCCCCCAACAATAAAATGACTAGCCTGACATCAATTTTAAAATTCCAATACATCAAGAATTTCGTTTAAACTATGCACAGGTTCACCAGTTCTAGAGTGGAAATTGCCACGGGGATTCTGTCGTTTCATTGTACTGGATTCCCATGATGGATTATTACAATCCCGGACAAGCCCCAATATTTATTGGGCACTACAACCCCAATAAAGATCATCAGCAGGGTTTTGAACACGGCTCAAGTGAATGATCACCGCGAATGCCAAAACGCCGCCTTCGCCACCTTCGCCACCTTCGCCACCTTGGCCCTCCGGCACGACGCTATGATCTACCTGCTGGCTATGTCAACTGAAAATCCCCTATCAATGGAGGTTTTACCCTCTGGTAAACATACACAAAACTATGGAAAATCACCATTTTCAATGGGTAAATCCACTATAAATGGCCATTCCATAGCTATGTTTGTTTACCAGAGGGTCATGGGAAAATCATCTACAGATGTTGGATTTCCACAATGTTTGATTACCAGAGGGATCCAGAGGGTAGTATTAAATTCCCCATGAGAAACTGTGCATTTCGGCTCCAATGGTGTATATCATACTAGCGGAATGGTATCTAATTTGATTTGGTCAGGTACCAATAAAGACGGGACTATTTCCACGGCTAAATAGTAGCCTTTAGTAAATTAACATAGACCCTGACAGGGGTTGGAAGATTAGTTTCAACTAAACAATGACTATTTTCAGGGTCTATGTTAATTTACCAGAGGGTAGGTACTGAAGAAATATGATTTAATTCAACTCGCCTACGTTCAACGGGGGCGACCCCTCACCCAATCAATCAGTGAGGAAAGTGCAATCATGAGAGGAAGTGGGTGTGATTGAAAACGGCGAACACAGTTTAAGCATCTACATTTGGATAGAATTAGGTGCATATTGTGCATATCAAATTAGTTATTGCAGTGGGGGAATAAACATCCATTAACCAGCTATTATAGGGTACCTAGTGTACCAGGGTTTTGACTCACAGCCATATCAAACCCCAGTTTTGTATGTTGACACAATTCTCACAGCAAAACACGGTGCCGCGGTGCGTTTTAAACCTGAAGAAAACCAGCATTCCGCTAGACATCAGTCATCCAGATATCGTTTCCTGTTGGTTCCTGTTGGTGAGATATTTATCAACCATTACCTGGAAGATCATCCTACTTAGCAACTGGTTGATAAATGTTAACAACACTAGTCAGTAAGTCCCCATTCAGTGGGCTTCTCCGAGATATTCTTGTGGGGTTATATCCTCCGATCCCATCAACCATCAGGCCCAACCTCACAGAAATATCTAGGATATAAGTTATCTTACAGTGGGGCAACTTCTTAATATCTGGTTGGTGGTATACCTACCCCTCTGAAAAATGATGGAGTTCGTCAGTTGGGATTATTATTCCCAATATATGGTTATGGGTCAATACCTATTAATACCATTTTTAGGGGAATGAACATCCATTTACCGGCTAGTTTTATGTTCACCAGGGGTACAAGGTTTTGACCCACTGCCATATGGAAAAATCAAAATGTTCCAAACCACCAACCAGTATAAGTGGTGTTAAATCTCTCCATGTTTCACCCCACCTGAGGCTCGAGGGCTTTGCTCCAGCTCCCACGCTCTTCAAAGCGAAGTCTTAAACACGTCCTGGGCGCTGCGTCAAAAAATCGGCGTTTTCGAATGTTGGGGAAAATGCATGAAAATTCATTAAACTGCAATTTGAAGAAGGAGAATGATAATAATAATAAGAAGAAGAAGAAGAATAATAATAACCAATATATCAATATATAATAAAATCACCCCTGAAGCTAGATGATTTCCATGTGAAAATGAGAAAATCTATGAACATATTCCGTTAAAGTAGAGGATTTACCTATGAACACTTGGATGTCTAATTACCAGGTCAGGTTTGTTTACACTTGTCGTTGCCCAGTGAGTTTGGCATCCTAGGCATCCGAAGCCACTAGATCACAAGGCCTTGGGCTAGGCCGAACTTTGGCATTGCAGGTCGCTGCAGTTTGTTCCACCAAAAAGCTGTTCGCTACATTACCCTACTGCTCTTTCATGGAGATTGATTTACCATCTGGTTATTTAACACAGCCATGGAAAATCACCATTTTTAATAGGTAAACCATCTATAAATGGGCCATTTCCCATGGCTATGTGAAATAACCAGAGGGTATATGTCTTTCCCGTTGAAGAGCCGACAAAGAAAGGCTTGAAAATGGTCAAAGAACCTTTTTGGGCGGAATTTAGCAGAAACCGCAGTCTTTTTTTAGGGGGACAAGCGACCCAATGGGAATAGCGGTCCCATCATTGGGGGGTCCCTCTGTTTGGAACTGAGGTCACTGACAAGTAGAGGTTGCCACCACCACCTGGATGGACCCGAGATGGTGGGAAGTCGAGTTTTAGCTGGCTGGGTATAACCAATTCATGTGTTTTTTTGGGGGGGGGAAAATGATGATACATGATTGATACACCATGGCAATCTCATAGGGATAACTGGCTGGGGGGACCTGCTCGACCAAAAATGTAAAAACGAATTATGACATTATGAGATGGAAAACACAAAGTGTTTAAAACCACCAACCAGAAAAGATTGTTCTTCAAAACCTTGGTTTGAAGGGGTCCTTACCGTGCACTCTGGCCACAACGGTTTTTCAATGGATAGAGGAAGAGTCTTCAGATGGCAAATTGCGGCTAGCTATATCAGGCTATATCCCAGACCCCAAATGGATGTAGGCCCTGTGTGTTGACCCTCAGCAGGCCACAGCCCACAGTGTCCACAGCCCCCAGCCGTCTTTTTTCCAACTTTAGGAGCTCACACCGCTCCCTTGGGATGTAAGGGCAGATGATGGCTAATCTCATCGCCATAGGCATCTTCCTGAGCCATGAGCTGGTGGCTCATTTCAGCCTCCCTGCACCAGTTGGGGGTCATCTAGCAGCTCGAAATGGGGTGAAGCTCAAAATGTTCAACCCAGAACTCCGAAAACATGGATGGTGTTGCAAATTTAACCACAAATCAAATATAAAATGTTCATATGTTGAAAGTTTTCCATCATAAACAAATCGTGATTTCTCCACCATATCAAAGTGTTACAAGCTGATCCCTGTATCCTTGATGGAGTCAACTAACCAAGTTAAACTCCCACAATTTTAAATTCTCCATGAAGTTCAAACATACCGAGCATCCATAAACTGCGACAGCTTGTAGTCCAGTATCCGAAAGGCCGCCCGCACCACGTCCACAGCCGTGCGGGGACCGTCGCTGGTTACGGACTCCACCGTGAAGTGGAAACAGTTCGTGTCCATCTGCGCACTGCAGAGATCTTTTCTGCCCAGTTCTCGCGCCTGAGACGGTGATGGCGGTGAGTTTTCGCTGTAAATGTACATGTAGCTATACTGGATACAAAAATAACGTATGTATGTATCTAATTATATGGTGGTTGATCCAAATTCCTTTATCTGCAAACGGCCGTTCTTCGTAGACCCCAAAAAACGTTTGCGAATCTTTCGCGAACCCCACGTTTATCTTTCGTGGGGTCTAATGTTAAAATATTTCGCTAAATCTTTAGCCAAAAAAAACTACTTTCGCGAACTCAGAAAAACACTTTTGCGGGGTCTCATGTTGGAACCCTGGCGGCCTTTGTAATGGACAATCTCTACATGGACCTTTAGATCCGAAAGCATATTTATATATTAAAATTTCTATTATATTATATTGTATTTTCTCATATCATATCATATCATATCATATTATATTATACTATATTATATTATATTATATCATATTATATTACATTAGATTATATTATATCATATATATATATACATACATGTCTGGGTGAAAATGGAAATTAGCAGCAATATAGAGGATCGGGCCCTTGACATAAAGAATTACGATTGTCAAAAATTGGGATGCCAATCTCAAAAATTGTGGAATCAAATCTCAAACATGGGGTTTGGTATCGAAAAAAAAAAGTGAATTTGTGGGTCAGTTAGTCTGAGCCGTACCATGCTGCCCATATCCCAGATACCAGGGTCATAAATTGTGTGTGTATTTATTCAAGAGTCGTTACTGACGTTCACCATTCAGTTTAATTTTGGGATGTGAGCTTCATGACACCTACTGTAAAGACGTTTTTTGGACCACCAACTACTCGACTCGGAGAATCGAGATTGGGAATGATTTCCCATAGGATCCATGTATGCTATATATGCTAACATTTACCATCAATATACCCCAAATGTTAGCATATACACCATACATGGATCCTATGGGTCCTATGGGTTTGGGAAAGATAGATTCAACTACCCTCTGCTAATCAGTCACATGTCGTGCTGGAAAATCCCCCAGCAAAGAGTTTGATGACTTCCCCCGTTGCCGTTTTTCATGACGGGATTTCTCAGCCCACTATGTTTGATGAAAGCGGAGGGTTTTCTGCGCACTGTTTTCCCCAGGTTTTTTTCCTTTCCACCCAGAGCTCGTTGCAAAGCCTTGGTCGTACACTCGTCGCAAAAGATGCAATCTCGATGTCTCGCCACCTGGTTGCCATCGTGACAGGATGGGTGAGGTTTTTTATGTGGGATGAAGCCACTGACCCACTGGAGTCACATGGAAAACTGTCAATGCCAGAGAGACACCTCGATTTGGAATTGGTTTAATAATTTCTGATAGGACCCAGACACTGGGAGATGGAGGTTTCCTGAAACAGGGGTACCCCTAAATCATCCATTGTAATAGGATTTTCCCCTTATAATCCATCCATTTGGGGATACTGATACCCCCATTTATGGAAACCACTATATGAATGAACCACCATATGAATGAATCATTGATGTCCTGTTGTTGTTTATGCTACCGCAGGCAAGGATGCATTCGTTTCTGTTTTTTCAGTATCTGTTGACGTCAGCATGCACTACATATGTTCACATCAACATGCACACTCTATGTGCACTCACCTCTTGTGTATGTTACAGTGGGCTGGGATGGGGTGGGGGGTCGGTTTGGAATGTTCACTTTCACTTGCACTGTGTCAAGTCACTGATGCTACGCTGTAAAGCTGTCGGTGCCCAGTGTACCAACAGGCTTGATGCTACCCTACAGTTGGGTGGGGGTCTGGTGGGGTGGCATGTTCACTTTCACTTGCACTGGGACACGTCTTTGATGCTACACTGTAGCATCGTCTGTGTTTACAGTCTCAGACTTGATGCTACGTAGTCATTGATGCTGTGGGACTGTCGCCTAAAGGATGACTGCCGTGCAGCTCAAAAAAAACACGAATCCTGCATAGGAAAGCGGTTTTTTTTGGTCTGTTATATTTACAGGCAGTGCCTCGTTGATGTTGGCTCACTGAAACTTCATTGGAACTGGGTTTTAAAGGGACTGAGGGGCCCAAAACGTGCGCATTTCCAGATGGATAAGGAGGAGGTACCAAGATGAATTCTCCCGCGGAACACTGTTTCTGAACGAAAATTCAAAAGATTCATTCTACTTTCTGTATATTCCGGCTCCACAACTCCGTACTTAGGGACCTGAGTGGTCTGAGTTTCTATTTCATTAAAGCTATATTAAAGCTGAATGTTCCATGATGGATCCGGACTTCCGTTGGATGCCCCAATGTCGTCTGTATCATGTATAATCAATACTAAGCTTGATTTGTGCCACGAAATTGCTAGTTTCCCTTTCTTAAGCATGTTATTTTGGGACTTGGTCAGCCGCGAAGTCGCTGTCAATCATTCAGAGGAAATGCTAATCTTGGATCAAAACAAAAACTGCAAGTGGAGGTTTCCTAAAATGGGGGGTACCCCTAAATCATCCATTTTAACAGGATTTTTCCTAATAAACTATCCATTTTTGGGTACCCCCATTTGTGGAAACCCCCAAGTCTTTGTGTCTTGCAATGTCCAGTTGGCCAAACGGACCGACCTGGATCGTATCTTCGATGTCCAGTTCAAAGACTTTTCTCGGACAGGCCTGCGACGCTGCGATGGCCCGATGGCCCGATGGCCCATTTGATCTTGGCATATATGGAAACCCATGGCTTGCCATGGAAAATGCTCTACAAATGGGTGGGTTTTTACATGGCTTTTTTCCATGCCATCATGGGCGAGAACCATTGAGATCCCGTCCCGTGAAAAACACCATTCGGCCCACTCCTCGGGTTAGGGAAATGGAGTGTCCAGTGTAGAATGATGTACCCTCTGGTTATGTCAAAATAGCTATTGAAAATGGCCATTTATAGTGGATTTTCCCATTGAAAATGGGGGTTTTCCATAGTTATGTTGGTTTACCAGAGGGTATGGCATTTGAAGGACACATAATCAACGACTGGATTTACTAGATATTTTCAGATTTTGGGGGTGTTCCCAACATTTTCAGAGACACCCATATGTCATATAACCAACAATGTGACATGTCCGGCACAATAGCCAATAATTTTCTCAACCCTTCCACCGTTCCCATCCTGCTTGTCGCCACAATTTGCCAAGTGGCTAAGCTATTGAGTAGGTTACAGCCCCGTATGACTGGGCTGTCAGGGATATCCCCCAGGAAACCACGCATCGCTGAAATTCCGGCAACATTGGAGTATTCATCTGGGTAAATTATAATATCTCACTAACCTGAATTGTTGGGCCATTTGGGGATGATTTCCCTTATTAGCCATGATTCCAGGCTTCGGGAGAACAGGCTTCGGTCGTGATCAAATTTACCCAGATTCATGAAATATCCTTGTGATTTATTGCTTAAATCCCCAATTGTATATGTATAACATAAAATTACATAAAATCATATATGATATCATGGTCCTCTGGTAAACTAACATAACTATGGAAAATCACCATTGTTAATGGGAAAACTCACTATTTCTATGGCCATTTTCAATAGCTATGTTGTTTACCAGAGGGTAATGATGACAACATTCTGGACGTGACATGATGTGACCATAAACTATTGAAACCCTCACTCCTTTAGAGTGAGTCATAGGAGTTCCCGGTTCATGGATTATGATCATCCCCAATACATATATATATAATATATATATATATATTCATAATATATATTTATATATACATTCATAAGTATCATCCCCGAAACTAATCATCGCCCCTGCCCCGCCATCTTCGTCGCCTGAACGAATTCGATCTTTTCGTCCAAGCTCAAACCATCCGGCGCCGGCGCATTGGCCACGTCCTGGTTCACCGTGACGATGGGCTCATAGTTCATGACGCAGGTGGCCACGGGCATAAACTTCGCGTGGTACTTGGGGATCCCCTTCCTCATTGGATTTCATGGAGGGGAGCCCCAAATATATATATATATACATATATATATATATGTACATATATATATATACATTATACATATATATATATATATACATTATACATATATATATACATTATACATATATATATATATTATTATTCTATTATTCTATTGTATATTATATATATAATGTACATAACATCTATATCATTTTTTGTGTATCAAAAAATGTAAATCGATTTTCCCAAATGGAGATTTCGCCGATGGCAGAGGTGCCATCCCGGCCGTGTGGTGGGGACTTCCCCGGTTTCAACATGTTTCAATGGGAAAAATGGTGGGAAAATATGGGGGAAAATAGGGAAAATATGGGAAAAATGGTGAACATATTGGCAAAATGGTGAAACATATGGAATAACTATGGAAATAAGCATAACATTGAAATTATTCAACATGTTTCAAAAAAAAATAATCTTTCAAGATACTAAAATTACGTTTTCAACATGTTTCAATAAAATTACGTTTCAATGAATAACTTTTTAAAATTACGGTGGGTGGAAGAAATCCTGCACCACCAAAAGGATGGTTGAAACCCAAACAAAATCATGGGATAAACCAACTAGAAAATATGGAACATCCTTTGATCTGGGCAAATAACCATATTTCACTAACCTGAATTGTTGGTGAATTTGGGGATGCTTTCCCTTATTAACCGTGATTCTAGTGAGGGAGAACAGGGTTCGGTCGTGATAATTTACCCAGATGTTTCAACTGTCAATCCATAAAATTAGGACAATTCATGTTGTTTTTTCAAGAGACAGCATGAAGATATATGAAGATCTCACCAAGAAAATTGGAACGATCCACAACAATCCACATCTAATAAAGCTTGGCCTCTCGGTGGTTGAGCAAATTAAAAACATCCAAATTGATATCAACTATTCCTCCAAACAGCGAAGCTACAGGTAAAAGCCTCACAAAAAAAATGATCAGTGAACATCATCAGTTGAGCAGTGTTCAAAATCCCGAAATGTAATTCCATGAAATACTGGTTGATTAAGAACAGGATTCCGGATTCCGCTATATAATGAATTGTGATCATCCCCTATAATCAAGCAACAGAGGCTTTGAACACTGCTCAGTTGCTGATTGAATCCGATCGACTCAGATGACAATACGAAAAATGAAATTCAACCAAGCCACCTCAAGGTGACCACTGCGGCCCCAATGATAGATGGTTGATAAGGGTTTAATAGTAGCTGGTTGGTGGTATACCTACCCCTCTGAAAAATATGAAACAGTTGGGGATGATTATCCCAATATATGGAAAAACAGAAAATGTTCCAAACCACCAACCAGGTAGTTCTTGGTGGTTCGGTGGTTCATAAACTCTTAATCAACACCGATTGTTGGGGTCAGCTCTTGGGGGGCCCACGGATCTTCCCATGAGAACCGTATGACATCAAGTCAGAACCAAGGGTCTTCGCTTTGCAAACCATCTTGAGGCTTTGATCCTTCTTCCTTGTGCGGTGCAAACTGGGTAAAAAAATGACTCCCTGGGTTTCGGACCCATGTTTGCCCGTAGGCAAAATAGGAAAATATATTAATGTACACTGTTCCCCATTTGCGGAAAACTAGAAAAACATCTTTGAAGCTTATGGATCTCTACATTGTTTGTGTAAAGAAATCTACCCTCTGCCAATCTACCCCAGTGATGGCTATGGACCAAAGCCCTATTGCCCTAATGTACATCAAAGATTTGGCATACCTGGATCCCACCATCAGAATTTCATTGCTTTTGATCCCCACATGTTTATTTTGGATGTTCCTCAAAGTATCTCAAAGTCCTTATATCTCTCTAATCACAGTTACCATCTGGTTATTTAACAGTTCACCATGGAAAATCACCATTTTTAAGTTCGGTAAACCATCTATTTCTATGGGCCATCTATACCATGGCTATGTTAGTCATAACCAGAGGGTAGTAATCATTCACCAAATCCCGATTCTCGCTGCTCCCCAGCCTGTTTTTCATGGTGAACTCTCCATGTTGCTTGCTGAAAAATTCCGAAAGTTTCCCGGTTCGTCCTTCCCCGAATTCCCGAAGGCTACCATCTGGTTATGACTAACAGTTTGCCATGGAAAATCGGTTTATAGCTGGGAAAATCATCTATAAATGGACCATGTTCCATGGCTATGTTAAATAACCAGGGGCTATCTGGATATACCCTCCCATAAATCAACATTGTTAATGTGCAGTTGTGACTGTGTAATCCCCAGGGATTAATCAACCTCCACACACGAAACATGTTCGGTCAATACTAAAATGGGTTGGTCCCCCTTGATTAATCAATGAGGGGGGGGGAATCACCCGATTAATCAAACCCCACAGAGAAAATCCATTTCTTGTTCTAGGTGTTCTTCTAGTTTTAAAAGGAAAATGAATTGAACGTAGGTTGATATCAATTGAAATCCTTACTAATCTTGAGATGTCCTTTTGTTTTAAAATGAACATCAACTGAATGTAGGTTGATATGGATTCGAAGTTGATCTTCAAGGACTTCAACTTAGGAGGGCGTTGATTTTGGAGGGAGAACCGTGGCAGACCTTCTCCCTAGGTACCTATCTTCGGGGTGGGGGGTTATTAATCACAACTTGACATTAAATGGAAAACCAACCACAAATGTAGATCATATTCCTTGGGAATTGTCTCTGCACATTTTTTAATACCTTGCTGATTCTTCTTGTATATTTACTGGGGGATACATTGATCAGTTCGGGTGGTCCTTTTTTGGCAAACTTCCTCCGTCCAACTGAGTACCTCAAGAGGTCCCATCTTCCCATATCTTCCACCTCAACATACTATATGTCCTAGCTTCAAAAGATCTAAAAAAACTCCATATAATATGTATATATATATATAATTCCATATAGATCTCAGCTCAGGCTTCATCTTGGCAATGATGATGCCATTTTCCCTTCGATCCACGCGATCTTCCAGTGTGGGATCTCTGAAAGGACAGGGCCGAACGCGTTTCCAGGTGGGCCAATCGGTCCGCTCGAACTGACGCGTCTCCTTGGTGTCGTCCTCCAGGGGGAAACTGAACACTGGTCGACTGGGGGCTAAACCATTCATATCTGGTATGATATCATCCCATTTATAGCCATAATAACTGGTTGGGAATCTAATGGAAATATATATGGGAATCTAATGGGATATTCATGGGATATTAATGGCTGGTTGGTGGTTTCAACCAACCCCTCTGAAAGATGATGGAGTTAACGTCAGTTGGGATGATGAAATTTCCAACTATTATATATGGAAAGTCATTCAAAATTCCATGGTTCCAGTCACCACCAACCAGATATCTTCGTTGAATTTTCGTGATGGGATATAGTCATGACTATTGCATGGGAAAAAAAAAAAACATGGCTTCAACGTTCATGAAAGGTGAACCTTCGAGGTTAACCATAGTTAACCCTCCCAGAAATCATGTTTTTTTTCATGTAGGGAATATGTACACATATTTGGGACCATACAAAGGCTGTGTTTTTTTTAGGGGGACGGGATTAGTACACAACTACCCGGTACCACCAACTAAAAGTGTTGAATCATCAACCATCATTGACTATCAAACATGTGGTTCTGACATGTTACCTTCTGGCATCTGGTAATTTAACAGTTTGCTATGGAAGCCAAGGATCATTTATAGTTGATTTACCGCTTTCACAAGATGATGATTTTCCATAACTGTTAATGGGTAAATCAGCATTAATGGGCATACAAATGCTGATTTACCTATGAAAAAAATTGTGTTTTTTCCAGTTCGCAACGGCTCGGCTCCTGAAGGTCGAAATGCGTCACCGTCAAGACCTGGGCTAAAAAACATCTCAATCGGTATTAATGATCCAAGCTTTGTAAAAGTTTTTCATCATCCAGGATTTTGGGATGCCAGCATTCATGCCAGGCTGCCAGATGTATACATAGTATCATATACATACACAATCATTCATATATCATATATAAATTATCATATACATACACAATCATATGTATATATATATATAATGTATAAAGTACATAGGAAGCAGCGAGATTCGAAGTGTCTGACACCTGGAAACATTTGGCTATAGGTCAAATTCTTAGACCAACTTTGGACAACAGAATCTGACAATTCTGAGTATCCAACTCTTGAAAAATGGGGGAATTACACAACTTCGATCCCTTCCATTTTAGCCCACCTGTTTCACTACAGAACTTGGCTCCCTCAAAAAAATCCACCAGCGCAGCACCACTTCGCTGTCAGCTGCACCTTGTCTTCCTCGTTGCTGACATCCAGAGTAAACAATCTGGTGCATTGCCTGAGCGCTCGGTGTCGGACTCTTGGCTTTGTGGAAAACATGCCCAATTTGCCCAATTCATGACCAACTAATAAGGAAAATGATGATGAAAACCCATTTGATGAATGGAATTGAAACCCAAAATGGACATTGATTCATGGTGCTTTTTTTGTAAAAATGGCCAGTTAACGACTTTAATGACAAAAACCCATGTGAGTCTGTCTGAACATGGGCCATTTACCCTGAAGGAATTGCTGTTTCACTGGGCAAATGAGGTGCTAAACCATCCAATTTGTGGGGTTTTTCCCCTAAATCTTCAGCCGAACTGAAGAATCCGTGATTCGCGTGCGTTTCATCTTAGTCTATTCGATTTTACAACGATGAACTCACCGGTGTTTCCCCAGCGAATCGCCCGGTTGCGGACACTCGCTCTGACAGCAATCCTTCGACAGAGCCATGCCATCATCTGGAGGGATATCGCCCACACCGTGCGACGACAGGGGGATGAGGCCCATCCTGCGGATGGCTGTCCATCCCTTGGATCCCCCGGCTGTAGAAAGATGACTGATCATCGAATTTCCGGTACCCTAGCTTTGGCTTGTACGCCAACTTTGGCTTAGGGTGGTATTCCTGGGGACAAACATGGACAAACCCTATCATATTGTTCTTGGTTGTATATCCCATGATTTTTTGGCATCTCAAAAAGTAACTCTAGCTTTAGCAAAAAAAAACTCATATGAACAGTGTTCAAAACCCTCTGTCGTTCCTTTATATTACCTGGTATTCGATGGTGTTCGCATAAGGTATCACAATAAGCCCCAATATATTGGGTAGCAGAAAGCCATCCAATCATCAACCAACCATCATTTATCAGTTATATTCACTAATATCCCCATATGTTCATGGTAAAAATCCCATTTACCATCTGGTTATGACTAACAGTTCGCCATGGAAAATCACCATTTTTTAGTTCGGTCAACCATCTATTTCTATGGGCCATCTATACCATGGCGAACTGTGAATGTCATAACCAGAGGGTAAAATGGCCCATAGAAATAGATGATTTTCCCAGCTAGAAACCTCCATTTATACGGGATTTTCCATGGCGAACTGTTACATAACCAGATGGTAATCACCCCTGGTCCAACGAAGGCTCAACATGGAGCCAGGGCTCCTGTGCGCAATGAACTCATCAAAGAGAACCTGGAAAACGCCAGGTTTTGAAGCATCGATTTAGATGCACATATCACTACGGAGATGTGTATATATATATAAATCCTGTATGTATTTATATATCATCTATATATATATAGATATGTCATATATATATAGAGAGAGAGAGATAGATAGATATAGATAACTATATGTATAAAGTTGGTGGAGGATAGTGTCCCCCAGTTATATCGCCCATCTTTTTCATGGAGGGTCCCTTTGGGTTTTCCCTCTGGTAATCTGACATAGCCATGGAACATAACCATTGTCGGTATATCCTTGGACTATATGTGTCACGGCTGCCATAGTTATATAACAAATTAATACAAATTACCACAGGGTATCATTCCGAATATTTGTGTTATACAACTATGGCAGCCGAAATATTTCTGGCATAATTATAAATCATTCCGAATGTTCATATCATTTTTCAAAGTAATTTCCCAATATTAATACACATTAATACACATGTTAATATGTATCACATTAATACAAAGGGTATCTCCCCTATTTTCGAACAAAATCCTTGGGGTGGCATGGCCCTCCTGATGACCAGGAGCTGTGTCGTTTTCCTCCATTTCGACCAACTCTATAGCCATGGACGGCACCTGCAACGCGGCTGGCAATGGGGTTCCAGGCTTACTACAGTGGATGGAAAAATCCAAATCCCCAGTTGATACCCTCTGGTAAACTAACATAACTATGGGAAATCACCATTTTTAATGGGAAAATCCACTATAAATCACCATTTTCAATAGCTATTTTGACATAACCAGAGGGTAGATGGTTTATCCTATTGTTTATAGGGTCTCAACCATCCAAGGTGGTCCAGGATTTCTTCCATCCACAGTAGGTACTGCATCAGGATCCTTAATGATTCAGGACGGGGTCTATCATAATGGTTTTGAAAATAATGCCAAATAAACTAATTCAACCGAACTCTACCGGATATCTTTAATTATGTTCAGAAACATTTTGAATTGTTTCATTGCCTGTACCCATCATCAACAAAACAACAACAACAACAACAGCAACCGCAACCACAACCGCAACCACAACAACCACAACAACCACAACAACCACAACAACCACAACAACCACAACAACCACAACAACCACAGCAACCACAGCAACCACAGCAACCACAACAACCACAACAACAACAACCGCAACAACAACAACAACCGCAACCACAACAACCACAACAACCACAACAACCACAACAACCACAACAACCACAACAACCACAACAACCACAACAACCACAACAACCACAACAACCACAACAACCACAAGGACAGCGACAACAACGACCACAACAACTACCAACAACTACCAACACAAAAAAAATGTCAACGCATTGATTCATAGCTGGGAAAATCAACTATAAATGACATATTTTCCAGCCAGGTTTGATTAGCGGATGGTTTTATCCAGAATGGGACATTATCAATTATAGACCCTTACCATTCATCCAGAATTATATAGAACTATTGGCGTTATTCTTATAAGTGGTATTCCTATTTTTCATTATCATCATAAAAATAGTGTAATTATTGGTATTAACATAGGATTGGTATTACTATTAGAATATACTAATTAGAATCCTTTCTATTATTTCAAAATTGGTAACATAGGATTCTTATTATTACTATTACATACTATTACTTTATGTGGGCTCAATTCTGTGCCCTATGTTACTATGTCGTTTGTGTCGTAAAATTGCGGGTCCCCGAAAAAAAAATGGGCGGAAAATACGAAAAACATCTCTAATGACTTGGATTTGGGGTAGCCCAAATCATAGGAACCCCCATACAATGTGGGGCCCCCAAGATAGCTAAGTTGGTGAACATAACTACAATAACTAGGGTTTATAGTAGTTATAACATGTTATAACCATAGTTAGATGGGGTTATAAACCAACTTATAACTAGGGAGCCCCACATTGTATGTGTATTTCATGGTGCCCATTCCAATAATAGAATGTGATAGGAATCATTGGGCATCCTACACAAAAAATATTGACATTAGTTACATTATCATTGTAACTAACTAACCATAATAAGGAGGTCATACTAAATTATATGTGAAACATTAATTCATGTTAGTTGTTTGTTACATATAAAATATGCCCTTCAATTTAACACTTAATGGTTAGTTGGACAAATGAACTAACCAATTAATTAGATAGTTAGTAAATTACTTGGTAGTTAATATTCATTGACAAGCTACCACTCAATGGTTAGTTAGCTAGCTAGTTAGTTAGTTGTTAACTAATGTTAGTTAGCTAGTTAGTTAACAATCCATGTTCACATCATTGTCATTATTAGGAGTATTGTTATTAAATGTGCATGAATTATTATCATTGTCATTGTCATTATCATTATCTTTTACCATTATTACTATCATTATATGTTATCATTATTATCATTATTATTGGTAGTGTTTGCCGTTCTACTAAAAAGTATAATCATTAATATGATTATTAACAGATTATATTATTTGTTAATATTATTATATCACAGAATCCTTATGATATTAGTAGTACTGAATATCATTATTATTACCGTAGACTATCACTATTATATATCGGTGTTACTATTAATAGGCTTAATCATTGTTACTATCACTATCACTATTATATATGTATCATTATTAGACTATTACTATTAGACTATTACTATTCATTCTTATTATCACATTATATATTATTATTACTACTGTATTACATGTTTCCCTTCCTATGCCTGGGTGAATTACAAGATTTCACTGACCTGAAATTACTATTATTGCTACTCTTATATAGGCTTATGCAATAGGCTTAATTATTGTTATTATTACTATTACTATTAGAAAGGTGTATTATTGATAACTATCATTAATAGTAATATGAGTACTATCATAGTAATGACATTGTAGACTATATATTAATCATTCTACTACTATTCATCATAGATGTGTCCCTTCCTCATTACTATTAGTGTATTAATCAATTCCTATCATTATTATTGGTAGTATTGGTGTCCCTTCCTCTTCCTATCACTATTACTCCCAACAATAATTAACCACTACTAGCATTATTAACTAATATACTATTAACCATTACTACCAATACTATCTTTAATAGTAGATTAAATACTACATTATTAACCAACTATTGGTTAATATTAGTTAATACTATCTTTAATAGAAGATTAAATACTACATTATTAACCAACTATTAGTTAATATTAGTTAATAATATCTTTAATAGTATATTATGCTACCAACTATTAAATATAGTAAATACTAATTATAATACCAATTTATAGTACATCATATTAACTAATATACTATTAATAATATTAACCATTACTACCAATATACTATTAACTATTATTAACCATACTATATTATCAACCTATACTATTAACTATACTATTAACCATTACTAAGATACTATTAACCATTATTACTATTAACCATTAAGATATATATATCTATACTGTTAACCATATCAACTATAGGTTAACCATTATCAACCATTTAATATGATACTAGTGTACTTTCTTCCAGGCCTCTGCCAGGATGATGCGACGGATGGCATTGGCCATGCTGACATCGGTGTCACTCAAGGTAAACTTCACCAGCTCGTTACTGGCGTGCGTCACCTGAACGTCGTACACTGTAGCATTCTGAATGGTCCATGAAATTAATAGTGGTTAATCATGGTGTTTAATAGTTGGTAATCATGGTTTGATTGTGGTGAATCATGGTTTGATAGTGGTTTAACCGTGGTTTAATTTAATCATGGTTTCACAGTGGTTTAGTCGTGGTTAAACCGGCTTGAGAATGAGAATTAATGGTAATAAAAAATGGATCGAAATCAGGTTACCCTCTGGTAAACTAACATAGCTATGGAAAATCACCATTTTTAATGGGAAAACTCACTATAAATGGGCCATTTCAATAGCTATGTTAAATTACCGGAGGGGTAACATCGAAAAGTATTTTTTTTCCAACCAAAACCGTTTGCCGTTCGGTACTCAACATGGCTGACTGGGACGAAACCTCCAGTGAGTTCGGGGATTAGCTATAGCTCGCCACGTTTGATTACCGGAGTCCGTACCCTCTGGTAAACAAACAGTTTGCTATTAAAAATGGACCATTTATAGCTGATTTACCCATTAAAAATAGTGATTTTCCATAGCAAACTGTTAGTTTGCCGGAGGGTCACCATCAAAAAGTGATTTTAAACAACCAAAATAGAGATTGAAAACGCAAAAAACTTGCGGGACTTGCCATGAATCCGTGGAGATGGTTGGAAACCATATTGGGAATACGAGAAGTAATTGAGCTAATATAGGATGGAACATGTATAAATAGTATGGCAACTAATCTGAAAATGAGGATATAGTGGGACATAGTACTGGGGAAACAAATCCTCCATGTAAATCCACCGGATGATAATGATTTCCCTGAAACTGGCAGTCGCCAAAGCCCAGTGCCCCATTTTCAGACACATCCATATGCTGTGCAGCCAAAAAAATGCTCGACCTCCTGTAATCGCTGTAATGCTAGTAGAGCAATGGAAAACAATCACCATATTTACCATAAATGGATATAAATGGATGGTATAAACATGTATAAACCATCGAACTATGGGTGGTTTGTTGTTGGTTTCATGGGATCTCGAAGGAAGTACGCTGGGAAACGCAGTTTGGCTGTTTGGGACAGATGAGCTCAGCCCCATCTGTCAAGTGACCAGGTTGTCGAACCATCCCTTCTTATGAAGACGATCAACATCATCTGAGCAGTGGCTAAAATAAATCTGCTTGGTTGATTATGTACTATCATTTTTTGGAGCTGTCAGTCATTTTTTATGACGGGATAAACTCCAGAAATACGGAGGGTTGATGGATAAATGATGGTTGATTCACGATTAGTTCGTGGATTATACTAACCAACTATCTTGGGAAAGATAAAAAAAAAAAACATGAACGGAGAGACTTTTATAGACTGCGGTTTCTTTCTTTCTGAACCAACCCCTGCGCCTTGATGCGCGGCTTTCTTGGCTCGCTGCTGTAGGGGAAGTTCGTCCATTCTCCCCCCTGATAGTACGACAACGACGCCATGGCGAAGTTGCCGCCCTCCGAGTTGGTCGACTCGTTGCGACGAGTCGAAGCAAAGCTGAGAGCGACACCACTTGTGACATGATTTTCTTCAAGGATATCTCAAGGTTGCCCAACCAATCCCAACCTTCTCATATATACATATATATATATGTTGTATATTATATATATATACACATATAATATATACTGAATATTATGCATTTACAATCTTAAAATATGCTCTTTTTTCGGAACATTGGTCTCAATAGAGTTGGCAGAACCGGCACCAAGCTGAAAACCAATGATGTTCAATATCTAGATGTTGCCAAGTGGGCAAGGAAAAAATAAAAAATGCAAAATAATATAGAATCTGGAACTTGGGTATCCAAATTGGATGCCTCCTTTTTATAAAAGGTTTTGTACTAGTAATAAAAAATCACCAATGAATCCAGACATATCAGGGATTCCAGACACTTCTTGAATCAAAACCTACATAGGTTGATACCACAACCTATGTACTCTGTTTGTTGATATTTCCTGCATTGCCGCTAATGTAAACTAGTTCAATGTGATTTTTCGGCCTGTAATAACGTATAGTAAGGTTGTGTTGACATCACTTCCCATTCACAAAACCACTGAACTGACATTAGAATGAGGAGCCAGCAACAAACGTTGAGTAGTCATTTGGATCAAAATTGAAGACTGTGGATTTGGGTGATTTTTCTTGGGGGGCCGCAATTTTGATCCAAACCAATACTTTCTGGATGGTGGTATACCTACCCCTCTGAAAAATATGAGTTGGTCAGTTGGAATTATGACATTCCCAACTGAATGGAAAGTCATTCAAAATTCCATGGTTCCAGTCACCACCAACCAGTTATGGTACATATAACTATAGTGATGTTTATTGGTTTATAAACCCAATGAATACTATAGTTATATGTACCCTCTGGTTATTTAACATAGCCATGGAAAATGGACCATTTATAGATGGTTTACCTATTAAAAATGGTGATTTTCCATGGCTATGTTAGTCATAACCAGATGGTATCATAAACCATAGTTGTCTATTTTCCGTATTTCAAACCGTGACCATTTTCCCATTTTCACATGACCATGATGATTCGACTTGACTCTCCCTGCGCCACGGAGATTTCTATCCCATTGTCCTGGCTGATCAATGGGTACGATGTAATGCGATGTTATTAAAAAGGTATTCCCAATGTGGGTCCTCAATTTGCACCAGCTAGCTTCATAGACCTTCTATGTCATAACCAATCAACAATCATTTATCATGTCTATATATCACCCTATAATGTTTGATCGGGACAACCCGTGTAAGAACTACTGTAACTGAGCGTGAAAATCTAGCAAAAGCCAATAAAATCCCATTAAAGTCCCACTAGAATCCCACTAGAATCCCACTAGAATCCCAATAAAATCCCATTAAATCCCATTAAATCCCATTAAAATCAGATTAAAACCTCGTTAAAGTCCCATATTCTTGATGGCTCATTTGGCTCAGATCAGATGGTGAAGCCACCACCCAAGCGCCGCCTCGACGCTCGCCCGACTTCTCCTGGTCGCGAACGTGAGGCGACCGTGATCTCGTGGGGATAGCAGTCAAACTACCCTCTGGTTATGTCAAAATAGCCATTGAAAATGGTGATTTATAGTGGATTTTCCCATGAAAAATGGTGATTTTCCATAGTTACGTTAGTTTACCAGAGGGTATCTGAATAAACTATAGCCCTGAAAAAAAACAATCGGAATTGGTGAGATATCCAACCACACTAATGTGGGTAAACAATAATCAATGGTCATTTCAGGAACCTAAATTGGAGATTTCATGATCGACCATGGGAATCATGGGCATTTTCATCTGAATCACTGGTTGGTGGTAAAACCCTATTTTTTCGAGCAGGAAATAGATTCAAAACCAACCGGAATTGGTGAGATATCCAACCAATATCCAACCACACTAATGTGGGTAAAACAATGCCATAAACCACCCCATGTTTGATGGTTTATATGACCCATTTATGGTGATTTTGGGGATGGGTTATTGTTGTTTTAACCGCATTATAACCATTCGGATGAGATAAGGATCAAGTTCGGTCATGTTGGTAAACTAATATACCCTCTGCTAAACTAAAAGTTCGCTATTGAAAATGGCCCATAGAAATAGTTGATTTACCGAACTTAATAGCATGGTGGATCTTTCTATCGTTTTTGTGGCTCTTTCCAGGCCGGGTAGTTATCCCAATCCGAAAAAAAAAAAGTTACATTGCGACGTGAGATCCTCTTCTTCAAATTTCGACCTTTGAACAAAACCATCTTGGAATCAGGGGATGGGCATGCAGCTAGTTTCGCATCCAGCTAATTTGATGTGGAAAAAAAGTATACAAAATATTACGAAATTAAAATGAGGACTGTTAATGGGGCCAAGTTGATATGAAATTATAGTTTTTATGCCCAATTTGATAACATCCTGGCAGTTCAAGTTGTGACTATTTTGGGGCTGGTAAGTGATCATTTCAAGGGTGAAGCGACCTCAGAGCAAGGTTTTTTCAAGAGGTCACTTTGAATGGTCTGCATGAGGTACTTACCGGTTTTGAACAACTGGGGCAAGTACTGCTCTATGAACCAATGGGAAAGGGACATGCCTGACAATCATCTACCGGGTAACCACCAAGAATGGGAGTTTGATCATGAAAAGGACCGCATTGACCTCGCGAAGTTTGGGATTGGATGGCCCCGAAACTTGCCTGGTCGGGTGAAGCGGGTGTCGACGAAGTCATGGCTGAGGTGGACAATGTCTCAACGTACTTTGGGCTGAACAATCAGTTTGACCAGTTTGACTTGAAAAAAAATACCGAGATGGGAAGATCCTAAAAAATCTCCTTGTCTAGAAAGTTGGCCTTGTCTCTGTCCTGACGCCTCGTTTCTTGAGTGAATTTCATGCGGCCAATGGGTTCATCCTCAAAAAAAAAGACTCACTGTCCTGGGGAACGTGGGAAGTGAGTTGTATGCCTGGTGTACATCATTCTATTACAATGATGTGTACCTAGATGTATGTACTTGTACATAGTCCTTAGAATCTGATTTGTTCAACTGTCTGATATCTTTAAGATCTCTTCAACCTAAAGACTTTGCTGTCGTAAGAAATATCGCATCGAAAACTGCCCTTCCAAATACCTATTTGCCAAAGCCAAAATGCTTTGCACCATGGCGTGGAACGACTTGAGGAAAGGCCCTTGGTCCCTTGGTTTGGACTGTATGACCTCTGAAGCTGAAGCTGCTTGTGATATTTTCTCGGGAAACGATTCATTTGATTTGGCGGCAGAAATTCCAAGATGTAAAGGGTAGAGATGACTCCAACACAGTCTCGTGACCAGAGCAACAAAATATGTCAAAATATGCTATCTCTCAATCCAGACTTACTTGCGGGAGGTTGTCTCAGTAAAAAATGAATGTATGATATCATTATCTGTGCAAACACACCCCAGCAGTGTGGGATGAACATCCGCATAGTCCTGGCTGAATCTGCATAATTCACCTATAGCAACCCCCAAAAAGATAGAAAAGTGAGAATGCTGTAAAACATCTGGAAAACATCATCTATACCATCCTGGAAACACTGTTCAAACTGTTTGGGGGTTGCTGTACCTGAAAAGTTCGGTCATTTTCGGATGGTTGCCCCAATCCTACTTGCGGGTGCATCCCACATCGTAAATGGCTCAAAAAAAATTAAATTAAAGGCATACATCAGGTGTTGTATGCCCGCAGTATCCCCACTTATATATGTATAATATGTATAATATGTATATATATATGCATGCATGCATGTATGGATGCATGCATGCATGCATGGATGTATGCATGCATGCATGGATGTATGTATGTATGCATGCATGTATGTATAGTTCTATACACCTGTATATATATATAGAGCTTATATATATATATACACATATATATATATGGATTGTAAACCACGGATCCTACTGTAAGTGGGGTGCATCTCAAGGACGTCAGGTCCTACCGTAGATGGACGATGAAATCAAACCCTAACGCAAAGGAAGCTATACCCTCTGGTAAACAGCCACATAGCTATTGAAAATGGCCCATAGAAATAGTTGATTTACCTATTAAACATGGTGATTTTCCATAGCTATGTGGTTGTTTACCAGAGGGTATAGAGCTTTGTGCAACATCTACTGTAGGGCCACCAAAACCACAGGGTGCCGCAGCGCGCAGCGGGCGCAGGGCGGTCTGGTGGGGCACCATACTCTTCGAAATGCGCCTGCACCTGACGGGCGCTGGTTGTCATGGCCATGGCAAATGTGGTTTCAAGCCACAAAAATCGCTGCTACCTTTTGGTCATCCGTGGCAATTGAAAATCCGAGTTTGAATGGGGCTTGAAGGGGAAATGTCGGAAATCCCATCCAAAAAATTGGGGATGGATCTATAAATTCATATAAATTCCTTGCTGAATCTTGATGACCAGAGTTACCTTTTTGGGGGGGGCAAATTCATGAGGAAATTTCATGATCGACCATGGGAATCATGGAAATTTTCATCACTGGTTGGTGGTTGAGCCACCCCCCATGTTGAAAGTTCTGGGAGTTACACTCTGGTTATGACTGACATAGCGATGGAAAATCACCATGTTTAATAGGTAAATCAACTATAAATGGCCATTTTCCATAGCTATGTTGAATTGCCAGAGGGTAATCCTACCCATTTTTTCGAGCAGGAAATAGATTCAAAACCAACCGGAATTGGCGAGATATCCAACCACACTAATGTGGGTAAAACAACAATAAACCACCCATTTGGAATTCGTCTATACCACCTATTTTATGGTGATTTGGGGGATGGTTTACTATTGTTTTACCCACATTATGGCCATATTTCATAGTACGACATATCCAGCTGAGATCTCCGATGTCTCTGAAACCTGCTCGGCACCTTTCGTCCCATTTCGTCCCCGTATGTTGCAAAAGCCCAGAGATTTC